AGTTGGGAGCGGGGCTCCCAAGTATCCCAGGATGGGGGATAGCCGCGCCACCGGACGAGATAACTCGTCCGACTTCCGTTCACGTCGCGGTGGTTCAACAGCTGCTCAACTAGATAGTGCTGGCCACCGCGAGAGTCCTCTAATGGAGGTGGAGGAGGAGGAAAGACGCTCTCCACACGATCATGTGGATCAGTGTGTTCCCGAGAGCTTCTTTGATCGCGTAACGCAAGGGTTACGCAACGATCTCGAACATGAGCGGGACAGGCGTCTCCAAATGGCGGACACTGTCTTGAAGCATCGAGCTGAGTTTGCTATTGCTCAGCTTGAGAACGAGAGAGCTCTGACATCCCTTCATGACGAGCTAAGGGTAGCTCGTGGGATTGTTGATCGGTCTCGGGATGAGATAGCTGCGCTTCAGACCCTTGTCGATGCCCACCATCGGGAGCACAAGGCTCTCTGCGAGATGCTTGAGCGCAAGGGCGTTCTTCATCGGAAGAAGCAGCGTACTGATGGTACGGCTTAAGCCGACCAACGTAAAACGTGGGATGCGTTCGCATCTTACGTGGTAACTCGATCGTGTTTGCATTGCCCAGGCGGTACAATACACGAAATGGGCCGATGTACTTGGGTAGTAGTTTACTGCTACCCAAGTTAGTCACTACATGCTTTGGTAGATTAACCGTAGACGGTAGGACTAAGTCACCTTTATCAAATGAAAGAGTGCTTGCCCTTCCATTCTTGTCAGCGTTTTGCTTTTGCTTATCCACCGCTTCGGCGATGGAGTCTTGCACAAAACGGACTAATGTTTCACGAGCCAGTATGAACTCATCTGATGACTCGTTAGCTTCAGTGCGCTGTGAGCGCACTGCAGCACCAGCAATCTTTTCTTCAGTGAGGGCTTCCGCACTCTCACTGGCATCATCTTCTTCGATATCGATGTTATCGATATCGGCATCAAACGCAATGACCTCTTCGTCAGAGCGTGATGAGCGTGAACCAAATCGGTTTTTGCTCGCGCGAGTCTTTCCCCCCCTTAAACCATGGTTACACTCTAGTAAGGTGGGTACACGCGGATGGCGTAAGCCATTCACGTAAACCATTGTATGTGTCGTGGACGCATGCAACGAGTTGTTAATAGCAAACTCTACCATTGGCAAAAACCCACTCCAACTCTTAAAGGAGTGTACGTATCCTCGAAGTATCTCTGCAAGGACACGATTGGCACGTTCCGTCGGACCATCTGACTCTGGATGATCAGATGTCGACATCTTCAAGCGCGTTCCGAGTGATTTGAACACGGAACGCCAGAAATCAGCAGTGAATCGTGGATCTCTGTCTGATACGAATTCACGGGGCAACCCATGAAGTCGGAAGATGGTGTCAATAAAGACACAAGCACAACCACTTGCCGTGATTGTCTCTGGTACAGCCACAAGGTGTGCCATTTTGCCGAATCTGTCAAGAAATACGAGAATACCCGTATTCCCGTGTGCGTCTTTGGGTAACCCGAAGACGAAATCCATTGCGATGGATTCCCAGCACTCAGCCGGGACCGGTAGAGGCAGTAAAGGTGCACGCAGTGAAGGACTTGACTTCACTCGTTGGCAGACTTCGCATGCGCGAACATACTTTCGCACAAACTGATACTGGCGGGGCCAGTAAAAGTCTCGATTCACCGTGAGATATGTTTTCTCCCGGCCACGATGTCCTCCTACAGGAGCATCGTGATACTCAAACATGATCCGAAAACGCAGATCAGTATCATCTGGAACGACAACACGTGGTGTGTCACCAGAAACGGCTGTGTAATACAGTAAACCGTTGCGAGTAGTGTATCGATCTGATGCAGATCGATACGCAGACGATAATCGTTTCAACGATTCTCGAGATGGCTGTGAGAGATGTGTCAACAACTTCACAATCTCACCATCTTGGGCTTATGCCCGCCTCACATCATCATACAACGTTGTAGATGGGACTGAGGACGTCATAACCGCTACAGTGACTGTCTCACTGTTGGGTTTCACGACTGGTTCAAAGTCGGGACGACGTGAGAGTGCATCAGCGACGACATTAAGTCGTCCTGGTTTGTACTCGACCGTAAAGTTGTATTCTGCAAAGAATGACAACCACCGCGCCATTCGTTGTGAAAGGTGCGGGCTGTTCACTGCCGTGCGTAATGACGCATGGTCAGTGTAAACAATGAAGGTTCTATCTCCTAATAGATAGACTCTGAACTTCGAGAAGGGTCTATCTCCTAATAGATAAACTCTGAACTTCGCGAGTGCTTACTTCATAGCAAGTAGCTCCTTGTCATGCACTGGATAGTTCCGATCAGCTGGTTGCAGCTGACGCGACTGATAGCAGACGACGCGTTCAACGCCTTCTAGGTCGTACTGCATTAATGAACAGCCGATTGCGAAATCGCTGGCATCACAGACCACATGAAATGGCCTGTCCTGATCGGCTATTGCTAGGACTGGGGATTGTTGAAGCTCTGCTTGATACCATCAAAGGAGCGCTGACATTCAGCGTTCCATAACCACCTCTCGTTCTTTTTCAACAAACGAGAGAGGTGCACAGTCATCTCGGCGTAATTGCGTGAATACTAATGCAAATACGCCGCTAGCCCAAGGAATTTTTGAAGACCTTTGACATCAACCGGCACAGGCCAGTCGGTGATCGCCTTGATCTTTTCGGGATCAGGACGTACACCGTTCTTACCAACGATGCACCCAAGAAGTGGTATTTCGCTTGCTGCAAATATACACTTCTTGAGGTTTGCATACAATTGATGCTTTCGCATGATTGTAAGAACCTGTCGGACGTGGTACCTGTGAACCTCAACGTCCGACTTTCCATCCATAGCTCGACTATGGATGAATACGCCATCGAAATAACTCGGCGCAAATCTCGTACTCGTCTCAACAGATGTGATACGCATCTGTTGAACGTGGCAGGGGCATTACTAGGCCCTTGTGGCATTACTAGCCATTCCCAGAGCATGCCGCTAGGCGTGCTAACTGCGGTATAGGGTATATCCCGTTCCCGCATAAGGATTTGATAGAAGCCATCCATCAAATCCATGGACGCAAAGATGGTACTCTTTGACATACCATCAATGATTACGTCCTTCCTCGGTATCGGCGTCTGAGCCGGTACCGTTGCATCATTCAACTTGTTAAATGCATGCACTATCCGCCACCCTCCTGTTGCTTTTCGCACACAGAAGGTCGGAGAGCTATGTAGGGAAGTTGATCCCCTCACATGGCCCGCAGCTAAACGATCGGCAAAGAACTTGTCGATCGCAAATACTTGTTCACGAGGCAGTGGCCACTGCTTCATGACACAGTACTTCGAGCCTGGTTTAAGCTCGACCTCGTGTTGAATACCTTTATCCTTCGGTAATTTGCACGGAACAGTTTCAGGGAATACATCCTTGAATTCAACCAAATCTTCATAGAGAGGATTTGTCTTGAGCGATTCCCATGATTGAGAGTCACATCGCTCAACTCGTGTCTTTTCATCCAGGACACTCTCGTCCATAGATGAACTACTGAGAACTCTCGTTCTCAGTAAACACTGTGTTGCTGACCTTATGTCGGCTACACACTCGTCGTCAGCGACGAGTACGCAGATCTGCTTGACTTTGCCACTACGCAGATCACGCAAGAACCTTTTATGTTCGAGCGTTGGCAACTGAGTGATCTCCGAAGTTAACTTCGGAGGCGCAATCAGATCAAGTGTGTAAGCGCCTACACATGATCCGTTATTGACTATGACATTCAATGTCTCTGTCATTTCCTGGGGACTAATTCCCTCAGGCTTCGAAGGAATTATTCCTTCGTCTTCCCGGGGACTTATTCCCGCGGGTTTCGGGGAACTTATTTCCGCCGTATTTGTAATCTTGGGACTTATTCCCTTAACTTCCTCTAGCTGGGGTTGCGCAACCACAGCGAGATCCTCTACGAAAGACTCTCCAGTCGATCTAGGATTATCGTTTCGCTTAACCTGAGCGATCGATTGTTTCTCTTCTAGATGTCCCCCTCTAGGGATACATCTTTGTCCCAGTCCACCCGACTTATTCGAGTGGTGGACCTTCGGCGCAGCCTGTGTTTCCTCACAGCCGCCGGAACTTTGCTCCGATGTGTAACTGTTTGGTACACTAAGGTTTTGTGCAGTCGTACTAACGACCGTACCACAAGTGAGGCCATCGCACTCACTCGTAGTACATCCACACGCTTGTGGACTCTCCAAAACGTTCATCAGATGGCCATCTGATGAACAAGCGGCAGGCATCGTTACTGTTCGATGTTGCCAGTTTACCCGTGGTTCGTACCTTCTGAGCCACGATATTCCAAGGATGACATCAAATTTGTCATCCAAATCCAATACGATACAGTCATCATCATATTGGGTATCTTCTAGCGTATAGTGGATCTTCACTATACGCTTCATGACGGTTACGGATGCGCCTGTCGCAAGACGTACCGTCATCCTCGTAGGAGGTGTGTCACATTCACTGAACTCAAAGTGACCATCTTCTAGCGATTGGCGTTGCACAAAATTGTTGGACGCCCCACAATCGACTAGAGCTCGAAGGGACAACTTATTTGTCACTTCGAGTTTCAAGGTAATGAGTGAGATCTCATTACCTAGAGCAGCAACACACAACGTTTTTGTGTTGGGAGCAATCTACATCGAGAGGCCTACAAATACTCTTGACGTTGCTGGACCAGTAGGGTGCTCCGCACCTACTGATCCTGTCCGTTTTTTGACGGTCCATCCCGTTGTCGTGTCTTTTCACCAACAGCGGACCTGCGTCCCTGCCCCTTTCTGATGGGTGGACGGTCACCACACCCAGTGTTGCGAGACACTGGACGAGGGGCACTACACTCGTAAGCGTAGTGTCCTGTCTTTTGACATCTGTTGCATCTCTGCAACTTCTTGTAGCCTGTAGAGCGAGTCTTCTCGCTCTCTACATAACAGAGTTCCATCGGCTATGGACCTCCGTTGTCATATCGTCTCGGTTGACGATATGATGTCGAGCTGGCGCGAGCCTGTCTCAGACTGAAGTCTTCCTGCTCCGCAATGGAAATGGCTTGTTCTAGTGAATCTAGTTCAAGCCGGAACAGGTGAGTCTTGACGGGACCGTCCTCAAGACCCTGCATGAACACCGAAACCAACGTGTGTTCATCCACCGGATTGGAACTTATACAACTCGTGAGATGTCGTATATGTTGAGCGTAAGCGTGCACATCACGCTTACCCTGCTTGAGCTTCAAGAGTTCGGTTCGAGCCCTGAACTCAGCTCTAGGCGGTTCAAACGTTTGTCTGAGCCGCGACTTGAAGACTTCCAACGACCCAAACGCATATGGGTCGTGCAACTTGAGCCCCAGTGCCCAAGTCTTGGCACGTCTTGCCAGATTTGACTGGGCAAATGCAACTAGCATTTCCCCGTCGTCGATGCGACGCGCCCTTATGGCGTCATCCAATTCGACAAACCATCTCATGAGGGAGTCCTCTTCGACCCCCCTATACTTGGAGATGTCAATCTTCAAGGTTTCGGGTCGACGCGAGTGCATCGACCCACCAGCAGCAGCCTGCTGCTGCTGTCTCAACAGACCAAACTGTTGAGCACCCTGTCCTCTCAACAACTCTGCTTGTTGAGAACCTTGTTGGTGAAGCAAGGCTACTTTCTCGCGTTCTGCGTCAAGTTCATTTTGAATGAACTTGGCGATAGTAGCATGTTGGGCATCTCTATTGAGAGACTCTAGCATGACGCTAACAGCATGGATGCCCATGGTTGAACCCATTCGTTCAACCGCATCCCATTCGACATCACTCAAATGGGAGTAGCCGTCACACGTAGCGTGAAAGCTTTGGTCATCTTCATCCTCCAACATATTCATGTTAGATGTGAACGTGGTCCTTGGACGGACTACGAAGTGCTACCAGGTGTAACGGGGCACCCTGAAGCTTGTACTGGTGACAGTACAAGGTACTTATTCTGATGACAGAATAAGGCGGTGCCTCGAAACTTCACGTAAACTCGTACGTGCAGAGGAAGACGGTAAGAAGAAGCGAGTACTTGGTTAAAGTAAAAAGTAGAACTGTATTTTTCCTAGTTAATGTCTGTTAATAAATCCCTATTTATCTTCATCTAACTATGTCTGAATACAAATGTGAAAATCAACCATCTGCTCACCACTCATTGCGTGCGTCTGTCGTGGCGCGTCTTCTTTGGTTGATGTAATGGCCTATATCAACCAATTAGGAACTACTCGTAAGTGCTGCAGAATATTTGTCCTTATGACAAAATTCTGAGAATTTAACTCTTATAGTTGTGTTCTATTAACAATTTCTTATAAATTGTTATGTAACGATTCACCCCGTTACATCACCCCCCCCTTAACCATCAGTCACTTTAGTGACTGATTGACTAAATGGGTACTCGTCCCAAATCAGTTGGGACAGGTTTGCACTTGCTGGTCCGAGTCCACTTTCCAGCAGTTCATCGCATGGTTAACAAGCCCATGCGATGCGCGAGCAAGGCCGCCGAGAGCGCGTCCGCACGTCTCTGTGCGGACGCCGAAGCAGAAACCGCAGCAACTGATATCTCATCGGTTGCTGAAGCGACTCAGCCTGTGTCACCTGGTGATGCAGGCTCTCGTCATGAAGACACTCATGCCTTCACAGAGTATGAGCTCGTGTCTCATACTCTCCTGATACGGAAGATGGATCTGTATCGACGGCGATCGGTACCAAGCCGCCTGCCAAGCGTGGCATGGATGACGCAATGCGTCGTAGCTTCTTTGGTTCATCTGATGAATTAGATGAACCATCGCCGAAGCGAAGGCGCTCGAAGTCGCAAGACTCGGGCGCTAATAGTGGTGTCGGTTCTCCTATTGACACCACTTCGCAGCGAGGTGCCAGTCCATCTGTCGGCACGTCGCAGGAAGAGCGGGACCGCAATGTCTTGCGTCTCGCTCCTGAGAAGAAGGCATGGATGCCTCCCAAAGCCGTCATGGATCACTTGTCGTCGCCGACAAGTGATCGTTATCGAACACGATTGTTCGATTCGTCAAGGATCCATCACCTTGACCCCAGTGCGAAAAACTGTCGCGCTGAACATGAGTTCTTCATCGATGCTTTCTTTAGACATCAATGGTACAGTTAGAATCACAAACGTGATGGTCCCTCACTGCTTCAAGCGTGGAACGCTTACATCCACAACCTTGAGGATGTAGATCGTGACGTTTGGAACGACAAACTCATCAAAGCTCGTGATAAGTTTGAAAAGCGAACCCCGACAGGTGCACGCTACAAGCTGCATCGTCTGTCAAGGGAGAAAGGATTACCATGCCTCTCATGGGGAGACTCGTGCCCATGTTTTGTGAACAACTCTGCACGAGCACCTAAGGAGGCTTACCTTCTTACCAGCCCGTGGTGGCGCGTACGTATCTCTACCAAGATGTACGAAGGGATTGACAACCTGAAATACCTTTACGACCGTGCCGGGAAGACTTTCTCCGGTGGTCCTTCTGCGGCACAGGATGTGCCGCGTCGTACTGCTCAACCAGACCCAGTACGTCGATCATCAGTTGGGAGCGGGACTCCCAAGAATCCCAGGACGGGGGATAGCCGCGCCACCGGACGAGATAACTCGTCCGACGTCCGTTCACGTCGCGGTGGTTCAACAGCTGCTCAACTAGATAGTGCTGGCCACCGCGAGAGTTCTATAATGGAGGTGAAGGAGGAGGAAAGACGCTCTCCACACGATCATGTGGATCGGTGTGTTCCCGAGAGCTTCTTTAATCGCGTAACGCAAGGGTTACGCAACGATCTCGAACATGAGCGAAACAGGCGTCTCCAAATGGCGGACTCTGCCTTGAAGCATCGAGCCGAGTTTGCTTTTGCTCAGCTTGAGAACGAAAGAGCTCTGACATCTCTTCGTGACGAGCTAAGGGTAGATCGTGGGATTGTTGATCGGTCTCGGGATGAGATAAATGCTCTTCAGACCCTTGTCGATGCCCATCATCGGGAGCACAAGGCTCTCTGCGAGATGCTTGAGCGCAAGGGCGTTCTTCATCGGAAGAAGCAGCGTACTGATGGTACGGCTTAAGCCGACCAACGTAAAAAGTGGGATGCGTTCGCATCTTACGTGGCAACTCGATCGTGTTTGCATTGCCTAGGCGGTACAATACACGAAATGGGCCGATGTACTTGGGTAGTAGTTTACTGCTACCCAAGTTAGTCACTACATGCTTTGGTAGGTTAACCGTAGACAGTAGGACTAAGTCACCTTTATCAAATGAAAGAGTGCTTGCCCTTCCATTCTTGTCAGCGTTTCGCTTTTGCTTATCCACCGCTTCGGCGATGGAGTCTTGCACAAAACGGACTACCGTTTCACGAGCCAGTATGAACTCATCTGATGACTCGTTAGCTTCAGTGCGCTGTGAGCGCACTGCTGCAACAGCAACCTTTTCTTCAGTGAGGGCTTCCGCGCTCTCACTGGCATCATCTTCTTCGATATCGATGTTATCGATATCGGCATCAAACGCAGTGACCTCTTCGTCAGAGCGTGATGAGCGCGAACCAAATCGGTTTTTGCTCACGCGAGACCCTCCCCCCCTTAAACCAGAGTTACACTCTAGTAAGGTGGGTACACGCGGATGGCGCAAGCCATTCACGTAAACCATTGTATGTGTCGTGGACGCATGCACCGAGTTGTTAATAGCAAACTCTACCATTGGCAAAAACCCACTCCAACTCTTAAAGGAGTGTACGTATCCTCGAAGTATCTCTGCAAGGACACGATTGGCACGTTCCGTCGGACCATCTGACTCTGGATGATCAGATGTCGACATCTTCAAGCGCGTTCCGAGTGATTTGAACACGGAACGCCAGAAATCAGCAGTGAATCGTGGATCTCTGTCTGATACGAGTTCACGGGGCAACTTATGAAGTCGGAAGATGGTGTCAATAAAGACACAAGCACAACCACTTGCCGTGATTGACTCTGGTACAGCCACAAGGTGTACCATTTTGCTGAATCTGTCAACGAATACGAGAATACCCGTATTCCCGTGTGCGTCTTTGGGTAACCCGAAGACAAAATCCATTGAGATGGATTCCCAGCACTCAGCCGGGACCGGTAGAGGCAGTAAAGGTGCACGCAGTGAAGGACTTGACTTCACTCGTTGGCAGACTTCGCATGCGCGAACATACTTTCGCACAAACTGATACTGGCGGGGCCAGTAAAAGTCTCGATTCACCGTGAGATATGTTTTCTCTCGGCCACGATGTCCTCCTATAGGAGCATCGTGATACTCGAACATGATCCGAAAACGCAGATCAGTATCATCTGGAATGACAACACGTGGTGTGTCACCAGAAACGGCAGCATAATACAATAAACCATTGCGAGTAGTGTATCGATCTGATGCAGATCGATACGCAGACTACAATCATTTCAACGATTCTCGAGATGGCTGTGAGAGATGTGTCAACAACTTCACAATCTCACCATCTTGGGCGTATGACCGCCTCACATCATCATACAATGTTGTAGATGGGACTGAGGACGTCATAACCGCAACAGTGACTGTCTCACTGTTGGGTTTCGCGACTGTTTCAAAGTCGGGACGACGTGAGAGTGCATCAGCGACGACATTAAGTCGTCCTGGTTTGTACTCGACCGTAAAGTTGTATTCCGCAAAGAATGACAACCACCGCGCCATTCGTTGTGAAAGGTGCGGGCTGTTTACGGCCGTGCGTAATGACGCATGGTCAGTGTAAACAATGAAGGTTCTATCTCCTAATAGATAGACTCTGAACTTCGCGAGTGCTTACTTCATAGCAAGTAGCTCCTTGTCATGCACTGGATAGTTCTGATCAGCTGGTTGCAGCTGACGCGACTGATAGCAGACGACGCGTTCAACGCCTTCTAGGTCGTACTGCATTAATGAACAGCCGATTGCGAAATCGCTGGCATCACAGACCACATGAAATGGCCTGTCCTGATCGGCTATTGCTAGGACTGGGGATTGTATCAAGGAGCGCTGACATTCAGCGTTCCATAACCACCTCTCTCGTTCTTTTTCAACAAACGAGAGAGGTGCACAGTCATCTCGGCGTAATTGCGTGAATACTAATGCAAATACGCCGCTAGCCCAAGGAATTTTCGAAGACCTTTGACATCAACCGGCACAGGCCAGTCGGTGATCGCCTTGATCTTTTCGGGATCAGGACGTACACCGCTCTTACCAACGATGCACCCAAGAAGTGGTATTTCGCTTGCTGCAAATATACACTTCTTGAGGTTTGCATACAATTGATGCTTTCGCATGATTGTAAGAACCTGTCGGACGTGGTACCTGTGAACCTCAACGTCCGACTTTCCATCCATAGCTCGACTATGGATGAATACGTCATCGAAATAACTCGGCGCGAATCATCGTACTGGTCTCAACAGATGTGATACGCATCTGTTGAACGTGGCAGGGGCATTACTAGGCCCTTGTGGCATTACTAGCCATTCCCAGAGCATGCCGCTAGGCGTGCTAACTGCGGTATAGGGTATATCCCGTTCTCGCATAAGGATTTGATAGAAGCCATCCATCAAATCCATGGACGCAAAGATGGTACTCTTTGACATACCATCAATGATTACGTCCTTCCTCGGTATCGGTGTCTGAGCCGGTACCGTTGCAGCATTCAACTTGTGGAACGCGTGCACTATCCGCCACCCTCCTGCTGTTTTTCGCACACAGAAGGTCGAAGAGATATGTGGGGAAGTTGATTCCCTCACATGGCCCGCAGCTAAACGATCGGCAAAGAACTTGTCGATCGCAAGTACTTGTTCACGAGGCAGTGGCCACTGCTTCATGACACAGTACTTCGAGCCTGGTTTAAGCTCGACCTCGTGTCGAATACCTTTATCCTTCGGTAATTCGCACGGAACAGTTTCAGGGAATACATCCTTGAATTCAACCAAATCTTCATAGAGAGGATTTGTCTTGAGCGATTCCCATGACTGGGAGTCACATCGCTCAACTCGTGTCTTTTCATCCAGGACACTCTCGTCCATAGATGAACTACTGAGAACTCTCTCGTTCTCAGTAAACACTGTGTTGCTGACCTTATGTCGGCTACACACTCGTCGTCAGCGACGAGTACGCAGATCTGCTTGACTTTGCCACTACGCAGATCACGCAAGAACCTTTTATGCTCGAGCGTTGGCAACTGAGTGATCTCCGAAGTTAACTTCGGAGGCGCAATCAGATCAAGTGTATAAGCGCCTACACTTGATCCGTTATTGACTATGACATTCAATGTCTCTGTCATTTCCTGGGGACTTATTCCCTCAGGCTTCGAAGGACTTATTCCTTCGTCTTCCCGGGGACTTATTCCCGCGGGTTTCGGGGAACTTATTTCCGCCGTATTTGTAATCTTGGGACTTATTCCCTTAACTTCCTCTAGCTGGGGTTGCGCAACCACAGCGAGATCCTCTACGAAAGACTCTCCAGTCGATCTAGGATTATCGTTTCGCTTAACCTGAGCGATCGATTGTTTCTCTTCTAGATGTCCCCCTCTAGGGATACATCTTTGTCCCAGTCCACCCGACTTATTCGAGTGGTGGACCTTCGGCGCAGCCTGTGTTTCCTCACAGCCGCCGGAACTTTGCTCCGAAGTGTAACTGTTTGTTACACTAAGGTTTTGTGCAGTCGTACTAACGACCGTACCACAAGTGAGGCCATCGCACTCACTCGTAGCACATCCAAGCGCTTGTGGACGCTCCAAAACGTTCATCAGATGTCCATTTGATGAACAAGCGGCAGGCATCGTTACTTTTCGATGTTGCCAGTTTACCCGCGGTTCGTACCTTCTGAGCCACGGTATTCCAAGGATGACATCAAATTTGTCATCCAAATCCAATACGATACAGTCATCATCATATTGGGTATCTTCTAGCGTATAGTGGATCTTCACTATACGCTTCATGACGGTTACGGATGCGCCTGTCGCAAGACGTACCGTCATCCTCGTAGGAGGTGTGTCACATTCACTGAACTTAAAGTGACTATCTTCTAGCGATTGGCGTCGCACAAAATTGTTGGACGCCCCACAATCGACTAGAGCTCGAAGGGACAACTTATTTGTCACTTCGAGTTTCAAGGTAATGAGTGAGATCTCATTACCTAGAGCAGCAACACACAACGTTTTTGTGTTGGGAGCAATCTACATCGAGAGGCCTACAAATACTCTTGACGTTGCTGGACCAGTAGGGTGCTCCGCACCTACTGATCCTGTCCGTTTTTTGACGGTCCATCCCGTTGTCGTGTCTTTGCACCAACAGCGGACCTGCGTCCCTGCCCCTTTCTCATGGGTGGACGGTCACCACACCCAGTGTTGCGAGGCACTGGGCAAGGGGCACTACACTCGTAAGCGTGGTGTCCTGTCTTCTGACATCTGTTGCATTTCTGCAACTTCTTGTAGTCTGTAGAGCGAGCCTTCTCGCTCTCTACATAACAGAGTTCCATCGGCTCTGGACCTCCGTTGTCATATCGTCTCGGTTGACGATATGATGTCGAGCTGGCGCGAGCCTGTCTCAGACTGAAGTCTTCCTGCTCCGCAATGGAAATGGCTTGTTCTAGTGAATCTAGTTCAAGCCGGAACAGGTGAGTCTTGACGGGACCATCCGCAAGACCCTGCATGAACACCGAAACCAACGTGTGTTCATCCACCGGATTGGAACTTATACAACTCGTGAGATGTCGTATATGTTGAGCGTAAGCGTGCACATCACGCTTACCCTGCTTGAGCTTCAAGAGTTCGGTTCGAGCCCTGAACTCAGCTCTAGGCGGTTCAAACGTTTGTCTGAGCCGCGACTTGAAGACTTCCAACGACCCAAACGCATATGGGTCGTGCAACTTGAGCCCCAGTGCCCAAGTCTTGGCACGTCTTGCCAGATTTGACAGGGCAAATGCAACTAGCATTTCCCCGTCGTCGATGCGACGCGCCCTTATGGCGTCATCCAATTCGACAAACCATCTCAAGAGGGAGTCTTCTTCGACCCCCCTATACTTGGAGATGTCAATCTTCAAGGTTTTGGGTCGACGCGAGTGCATCGACCCACCAGCAGCAGCCTGCTGCTGTCTCAACAGACCAAACTGTTGAGCACCCTGTCCTCTCAACAACTCTGCTTGTTGAGAACCTTGTTGGTGAAGCAAGGCTACTTTCTCGCGTTCTGCGTCAAGTTCATTTTGAATGAACTTGGCGATAGTAGCATGTTGGGCATCTCTATTGAGAGACTCTAGCATGACGCTAACAGCATGGATGCCCATGGTTGAACCCATTCGTTCAACCGCATCCCATTCGACATCGCAAAAATGGGAGTAGCCGTCACGCGTAGCGTGAAAGCTCTGGTCATCTTCATCATCCAACATATTCATGTTGGATGTGAACGCGGTCCTTGGACGGACTACGAAGTGCTACCAGGTGTAACGGGGCACCCTGAAGCTTGTACTGGTGACAGTACAAGGTACTTATTCTGATGACAGAATAAGGCGGTGCCTCGTAACTTCACGTACACTCGTACGTGCAGAGGAAGACGGTAAGAAGAAGCGAGTACTTGGTTAAAGTAAAAAGTAGAACTGTATTTTTCCTAGTTAATGTCTGTTAATAAATCCCTATTTATCTTCATCTAACTATGTCTAAATACAAATGTGTAAACCAACTATCTGCTCACCACTCATTGCGTGCGTCTGTCGTGGCGCGTCTTCGTTTGTTGATATAATGGCCTACATCAACCAATCAGGAACTACTCGTAAGTGCTGCAGAATATTTGTTCTTATGACAAAATTCTGAGAATTTAACTCTTATAGTTATATTCTATTAACAATTTCTTATAAATTGTTATGTAACGATTCACCCCGTTACAGACAAAGGGTGCCGCGTTAAACTTTTTTTGTGTACATTCTAGTTTTGTATACTCAGATACAGAGTTTCCCCTTCAAAGATGCTGTACGAGCATCCAATCGACCACCAGATGGCCCTGGCCTACCCGCAGCAGCTTGTCATTAGCCTAGGTTTCGCGCGCAGTTACGTCCGCGACCTTGGGTATTAACGTGCTTGGAATCGTGAGGTAAACGAGTCAGTAACCCTCGGCTAGTATGCGTTGACAGAGCGAATTGATACCAGTCAGTCGTGGCTTCTTGCTGTCATTCCCGTCGCTAATTACCGGTGATGTCGTGGTTCCGAACGGTTTGTGCCACTGATATTTACAATCATACTATTACTCTATACTTAGAGTTTGTATGCCAATGTGTACGATTTTACTTGTCGCAGTGGCCAAAGTAGCTATAAAAATGTGAGGTCATTATGGTCTACAAATCGCGATCGTTAACACACACAAAGTGTTGTCCACCTATAGAATGCACCTCAAATCTCCATAGCACCTGTTAACTCGTAAAACTGACTGAGCAGTGGATAAATGTGGGCGTACAATATTACCTGGCATCGAGTTGTCTCCGGTACAATTATCATCATGTCCTCCTGGTTCCCAGATGAAGCGCTGCGGCTCGTAGAGGCTCGCAATCGCCGAGAAGTCGCAGCCTTCAGCGCCCTCATCACGTCCCACCAGCAGCTGCTGTTCCGGCCTTTGACTTCCTCTTCTCTGGGTGCGTCGATGCCTCTCGCCTCGGCGCAGGAACAAGCAGACGCAGCCGCGCAGAGATACCTGGCAACCATCCAGCGACTGGAGCGCGAAGTGGCGGACAAGAACGCGCAGCTGGCGAGCTACGCGGGTCGCCAGCTGGAGATCGTGAGTGAGAGCAAGATGCTGCTGCAGGAGCGTGACCAGTGGGAGCAGCGACTGCAGCTGGCAACGAGGAAGTTGGAGGACGAGACGCTGTTGAGTTTGGAGAAGGACAAGGCGCTCCAGGAGCTGGACGCGGCGCTGTCAGTTCTTCGAGAAGAGCTCTTGAGACAGAGGAGTTTGTTGGAGAAGAGTGAGATGGAGACCGACCGACTCAGGAAGCAGAACGCGGAGCTCGAGACGCAGGTGCAGGAGAAGAGCGCGCTGCTTCATGAATGGATTCAAACCACGAGTGGAGAGAGAGAGGGAGAGGCGCCTTCATCTGCATCAGAAGCTAGGAAAACACAGGAGAGATCCGAGAGCATGACTCAGTTGCTCGATGAAAGTGGAGGCTCGAGTCAAAGCGGTCCGAGAGCCACGTTGATCACTCAAACTACACACTCCATCCGCGCCCATGCGACGGAAGTGAACTCAGTCTGTTTTAGTGCGTCCGGCAAGATATTATTTAGTGGCAGCAGTGATGGTACGGTGAGAGCGTGGGAAGCGGAAGCAGGGTCGTCTTCCGCCCCAAGAGCGCTGGGGGAATATAGAGGCGTGGGGACTGCGCATCCGTTGCTGTGCGTGCGCGCGTCGGAGGACGGCGCGCTAGTGCTGGGTACCGGATGTGATCGTAAGTGCTTTGTGTGGCGAGTGGGCACAGGACGTGTCATGCAGACATTGACGGGGCACAAGGGCAAAGTCTTGGCTGCTGAGTTCTCGCCTGTGTCGCCCAATGAAGTGCTCACAGGCTCGTCCGACCGCAGTTTGCGCGTGTGGGATGTGCTACGAGGAGTGCGACTGCAGACTATTAGCTGCGTGTCCAGCTGCAACGATGTTGCTGCACGTTCAGGAGCTGACGCGGGCTTTGTGCAATTCGCAAGTGCTCATCAAGACGGCGCTGTTCGGTTTTGGGACACGAGGACGCGACATTGCGTGCAGGAGTTGCACGGTCTTCACACGGACCAAGCAACTTCTGTGAGTTTTGGTGGCAACGAGCTACTCACGAATTCCCGGGACCACTCTCTGTGCGTCGTTGATCCACGCACATACGGCGTGCTGCGTAAGCTGCGTCACGACGACTACAAGTGTGGGTTCGACTGGGGCCAAGCTTCGCTCAGTCCGGACGGCCACTACGCTCTGGCCGGTGGGGCATCCGGAGTCCTCTTTGTCTGGAATGCTCGTAACGGCAAAGTCGAACAGCAGCTCAAGTCGGGTCCGAATGGTCACCACGGAGCTGTTGCGTGTTGTGTATGGCGTCCAGATGGTCAAGGCGCTGCGTCGTGCGACAAGAACGGCAGCGTCGTGCTGTGGGAGTAAGTGTCACCGGAAGCAAGGGACTGTCGGGAAATTGCTATGTATTATTGTGCAAGCTAAACGGCGGTCAGTCTAGTCTTTAAGATCGAAGGACGTGCCACAGCCACAGCCGCTGGCTGCGTTGGGGTTTTTGACCACTACAAAGGCGCTGCGGATCAGCTCCTGCTCGAAGTCCACGGTGCTGCCTCGGATCAGCTCCAGCGACTCTTTGTCCACGACGACGCGTCCGCCATGCTGCTCGAAGACCACGTCTTCCTCCGCGTCGGGCGTCGCGTCTTTCTCCAGCTCCAGCACGTACTTGAAGCCCGAGCAGCCGCCGCCTTCCACTGCCACACGCAGCATGAGCTGGTCCGACTTCTGACGCTCCGCAGCCTCAACGAGCTTTCGCGCGGCCGTGGGCGTAATCGAGACGTCAGGGGTACTCGTGTCGTGGCGAGTTACTTGGACGCTGGAGATCCATCGCGACTGGTGACGCAGCAGACGCTGAGCAAAGAACGCGGGTCGGATGTTGAGCATTTTGGACGAAGTGATGAAATATTTCCATACTATTCTGTGCCATTTGTTTGCGGACAGAAAAGTTACGTGAGCTACATGGAATATGATGACTGACTAAAATCCACTTTTTAAGTCTGGTTTGTTTGGTATTTCATCACCACAAACAAGCTATTCTGAGGTATTGACAGTGAGCACTCGCTGCTAAAAACGAAGGTGACAACGACTTTCGGCTACCGCATGTGAAAAGATCATATTTCCTGATGAGCGCCTCCCTCATCGTTACCGATCGCTTCTGTGCTTGATTCTGATCAGTTACTCCTTACTAAGAACGGCTAATCTGAATCTTGAGCAGGAATAAAAATGATGAAAAATATAAGTGCTTTTTCTATCGGTTATAATCATTTGAGTTTAATCATTTTTGGCACATTCCGCCACATAAAAAAATGAAAATCCTCACTTCTATTTCCATCAATTCAGCAGCTTTGTAGTAGTAAAATTGCTGATAGGTTTGTCACGCTGCTTTTTGGGTGACTAGATCTTCTTGTTCGAGTGGTAGTGTAACGGGGTGAATCGTTACATAACAATTTATAAGAAATTGTTAATAGAACATAACTATAAGAGTTATGTTCTCAGAATATTGTCATAAGAACAAATATTCTGTAGCACTTACGAGTAGTTCCTAATTGGTTGATATAGGCCATTATATCAACCAACGAAGACGCGCCACGACAGACGCACGCAATGAGTGGTGAGCAGATAGTTGGTTTATACATTTGTATTTAGACATAGTTAGATGAGGGTAAATAGTGATTTATTAACAGACATTAACTATGATAAATACAGTTCTACTTTTTACTTTAACCAAGTACTCGCTTCTTCTTACCGTCTTCCTCTGCACGTACGAGTGTACGTGAAGTTACGAGGCACCGCCTTATTCTGTCATCAGAATAAGTAGCTTGTACTGTCACCAGTACAAGCTTCAGGGTGCCCCGTTACACCTGGTAGCACTTTGTAGTCCGTCCAAGGACCGCGTTCACATCCAACATGAATATGTTGGATGATGAAGATGACCAAAGCTTTCACGCTACGCGTGACGGCTACTCCCATTTGAGCGATGTCGAATGGGATGCGGTTGAACGAATGGGTTCGACCATGGGCATCCATGCTGTTAGCGTCATGCTAGAGTCTCTCAATAGAGATGCCCAACATGCTACTATCGCCAAGTTCATTCAAAATGAACTTGACGCAGAACGCGAGAAAGTAGCCTTGCTTCACCAACAAGGTTCTCAACAAGCAGAGTTGTTGAGAGAACAAGGTGCTCAACAGTTTGAACTGTTGAGACAGCAGCAGGCTGCTGCTGGCGGGTCGATGCACTCGCGTCGACCCGAGACTTTGAAGATTGACATCTCCAAGTATAGGGGGGTCGAAGAAGACTCCCTCTTGAGATGGTTCGTCGAATTGGATGACGCCATAAGGGCGCGTCGCATCGACGACGGGGATATGCAAGTTGCATTTGCCCAGTCAAATCTGGCAGGACGTGCCAAGACTTGGGCACTGGGGCTCAAGCTGCACGACCCATATGCGTTTGGGTCGTTGGAAGTCTTCAAGTCGCGGCTCAGACAAACGTTTGAACCGCCTAGAGCTGAGTTCAGGGCCCGAACCGAACTCTTGAAGCTCAAGTAGGGTAAGCGTGATGTGCACGCTTACGCGCAACATATCCGACATCTCACGAGCTGTATAAGTTCCAATCCGGTGGATGAACACACGTTGGTTTCGGTGTTCATGCAGGGTCTTGCGGATGGTCCCGTCAAGACTCACCTGTTCCGGCTTGAACTAGATTCACTAGAACAAGCCATTTCCATTGCGGAGCAGGAAGACTTCAGTCTGAGACAGGCTCGCGCCAGCTCGACATCATATCGTCAACCGAGACGATATGAAAACGGAGGTCCAGAGCCGATGAAACTCTGTTCTGTAGAGAGCGAGAAGGCTCGCTCTACAGACTACAAGAAGTTGCAGAGATGCAACAGATGTCAAAAGACAGGACACTACGCTTACGAGTGTAGTGCCCCTCGTCCAGTGTCTCGCGACACTGGGCGTAGTGACCGTCCACCCATGAGAAAGGGGCAGGGACGAGGGTCCGCTGTTGGTGCAAAGACGCAACAACGGGATGGACCGTCAAAAAACGGACAGGATCAGTAGGTGCGGAGCACCCTACTGATCCAGCAACGTCAAGAGAATTTGTAGGCCTCTTGATGAAGGTTGCTCCCAACACACAGACATTGTGCGTTGCTGCTCTAGGTAATGAGGTCGAAATGACGAATAAGTTGTCCCTTCGAGCTCTAGTCGATTGTGGGGCGTCCAACAATTTTGTGCGACGCCAATCGCTAGAAGATGGTCACTTTAAGTTCAGTGAATGTGACACACCTCCTACGAGGATGACGGTACGTCTTGCGACAGGCGCATCCGTAACCGTCATGAAGCGTATAGTGAAGATCCACTATACGCTAGAAGATACCCAATATGATGATGACTGTATCGTATTGGATTTGGATGACAAATTTGATGTCATCCTTGGAATACCGTGGCTCAGAAGGTACGAACCACGGGTAAACTGGCAACATCGAACAGTAACGATGCCTGCCGCTTGTTCATCAAATGGCCATCTGATGAACGTTTTGGAGCGTCCACAAGCGTGTGGATGTACTACGAGTGAGTGCGATGGCCTCACTTGTGGTACGGTCGTTAGTACGACTGCACAAAACCTAAGTGTAACTAATGGTTACACTTCGGAGCAAAGTTCCGGCGGCTGTGAGGAAACACAGGCTGCGCCGAAGGTTCACCACTCGAATAAGTCGAGTGGACCGGGACAAAGATGTATCCCTAGCGGGGAACATCTAGAAGAAAAACAATCGATCGCTCAGGTTAAGCGAAACGATAATCCTAGATCGACTGGAGAGTCTTTCGTAGAGGATATCGCTGTGGTTGCGCAACCCCAGCTAGAGGAAGTTAAGGGAATTAGTCCCAAGATTACAAATACGGCGGAAATAAGTTCCCCGAAACCCGCGGGAATAAGTTCCCGGGAAGACGAAGGAATAAGTCCTTCGAAGCCTGAGGGAATTAGTCCCCAGGAAATGACAGAGACATTGAATGTCATAGTCAATAACGGATCATGTGTAGGCGCTTACACACTTGATCTGATTGCGCCTCCGAAGTTGACTTCGGAGATCACTCAGTTGCCAACGCTCGAACATAAAAGGTTCTTGCGTGATCTGCGTAGTGGCAAAGTCAAGCAGATCTGCGTACTCGTCGCTGACGACGAGTGTGTAGCCGACATAAGGTCAGCAACACAGTGTTTACTGAGAACGAGAGAGATTCAGTAGTTCATCTATGGACGAGAGTGTCCTGGATGAAAAGACACGAGTTGAGCGATGTGACTCTCAATCATGGGAATCGCTCAAGACAAATCCTCTCTATGAAGATTTGGTTGAATTCAAGGATGTATTCCCTGTAACTGTTCCGTGCGAATTACCGAAGGATAAAGGTATTCAACACGAGGTCGAGCTTAAACCAGGCTCGAAGTACTGTGTCATGAAGCAGTGGCCACTGCCTCGTGAACAAGTACTTGCGATCGACAAGTTCTTTGCCGATCGTTTAGCTGCGGGCCATGTGAGGGAATCAACTTCCCCACATAGCTCTCCGACCTTCTGTGTGCGAAAAGCAACAGGAGGGTGGCGGATAGTGCACGCGTTCAACAAATTGAACGCTGCAACGGTACGCGGCTCAGACGCCGATACCGAGGAAGGACGTAATCATTGATGGTATGTCAAAGAGAACCATCCTTTCGTCCATGGATTTGATGGATGGCTTCTATCAAATCCTTATGCGGGAATGGGATATACCCTATACCGCAGTTAGCACGCCTAGCGGCATGCTCTGGGAATGGCTAGTAATGCCACAAGGGCTTAGTAATCCCTCTGCCACGTTCAACAGATGTGTATCACATCTGTTGAGACCAGTACGCGAATTCGCGCCGAGTTATTTCGATAACGTATTCATCCATAGTCGAGCTATGGATGGAAAGTCGGACGTTGAGGTTCACAGGTACCACGTCCGACAGGTTCTTACAATCATGCGAAAGCATCAATTGTATGCAAACCTCAAGAAGCGTATATTTGCAGCAAGCGAAATACCACTTCTTGGGTGCATCGTTGGTAAGAACGGTGTACGTCCTGATCCCAAAAAGATCAAGGCGATCACCGACTGGACTGTGCCGGTTGATGTCAAAGGTCTTCGAAAATTCCTTGGGCTAGCGGCGTATTTGCATAAGTACTCACGCAATTACGCCGAAATGACAGTGCACCTCTCTCGTTTGTTGAAAAAGAACGAGAGGTGGTTATGGAACGCTGAATGTCAACGCTCCTTTGAGGGTATCAAGCAGAGCTTGATACAATCCCCAGTCCTAGCAATAGCCGATCAGGATAGGCCATTTCATGTGGTCTGTGATGCCAGCGATTTCGCAATCGTCTGTGCATTAATGCAGTACGATCTTAAAGGCGTTGAACGCGTCGTCTGCTATCAGTCGCGTCAGCTGCAACCAGCTGAGCGGAACTATCCAGGGCATGACAAGGAACTCCTTGCCATGAAGTATGCACTCGCGAAGTTCAGAGTCTATCTATTAGGAGATAGACCCTTCATTGTTTTCACTGACCATGCGTCATTACGCACGGCAGTGAACAGCCCGCACCTTTCACAACGAATGGCGCGGTGGTTGTTATTCTTTGCAGAATACAACTTTTACGGTCGAGTACAAACCAGGACGACTTAATGTCGTTGCTGATGCACTCTCACGTCGGCCCTACTTTGAACCAGTCGTGAAACCCAACAGTGAGACAGTCACTGTTGCGGTTATGACGTCCTCAGTCCCATCTTCAACGTTGCATGATAATGTGAGGCGGGCGTATGCCCAAGATGGTGAGATGTGAAGTTTTTGACACATCTCTCCCTACCATCTCGAGAATCGTTGATACGATTGTCGTCTGCGTATCGATCTGCATCAGATCGATACACTAATCGTAACGGTTTACTGTATTATACAGCCGTTTCTGGTAACACACCACGTGTTGTCATTCCAGATGATACTGATCTGCGTTTGCGGATCATGTTCGAGTATCACGATGCTCCTATAGGAGGACATCGTGGCCGAGAGAAAACGTATCTCACGGAAGTCGAGACTTTTACTGGCCCCGCCAGTATCAGTTTGTGCGAAAGTATGTTCGCGCATGCGAAGTCTGCCAACGAGTGAAGTCAAGTCCTTCACTGCGTGCACCTTTACAGCCTCTACCGGTTCCGGCTGAGTTCTGGGAATCCATCTCAATGGATTTCGTCTTCGGGTTCCCCAAAGACGCACGCGGGAATACGGGTATTCTCGTATTCGTTGACAGATTCGGCAAAATGGTACACCTTGTGGCTGTACCAGAGACAATCACGGCAAGAGGCTGTGCTTGTGTCTTTTTTGACACCATCTTCCGACTTCATGGGTTGCCCCGTGAACTCGTATCAGACAGAGATCCACGATTCACTGCTGATTTCTGGCGTTCCGTGTTCAAATCACTCGGAACGCGCTTGAAGATGTCAACATCTGATCATCCAGAGTCAGATGGTCAGACGGAACGTGCCAATCGTGTCCTTGCAGAGAAACTTCGAGGATACGTACACTCCTTTAAGAGTTGGAGTGAGTTTTTGCCAATGGTAGAGTTTGCCATTAACAACTCGGTGCATGCGTCCACGACACATACACCGTTTTACGTGAATGGCTTGCGCCATCCGCGTGTACCCACCTTACTAGAGTGTAACTCTGGTTTAAGGGGGGGAGGGACTCGCGCGAGCAAAACCGATTTGGTTCACGCTCATCACGCTCTGAAGAAGAGGTCATTGCGTTTGATGCCGATATCGATAACATCGATATCGAAGAAGATGATGCCAGTGAGAGTGCGGAAGCCCTCACTGAAGAAGATGATCCCAGTGAGAGTGCAGAAGCCCTCACTGAAGAAAAGGTTGATGTTGCTGCAGTGCGCTCACAGCGCACTGAAGCTAACGAGTCATCAGATGAGTTCATGCTGGCTCGTGAAACGGTAGTCCGTTTTGCGCAAGACTCCATCGCCGAAGCGGTGGATAAGCAAAAGCAAAACGCTGACAAGAATGGAAGGGCAACACTCTTTCATTTGATAAAGGTGACTTAGTCCTACTGTCTACGGTTAATCTACTAAAGCATGCAGTGACTAACTTGGGTAGCAGTAAACTTCTACCCAAGTAAATCGGCCCATTTCGTGTATTGCACCGCCTAGGCAATGCATACACGATCGAGTTACCACGTAAGATGCGAACGCATCCCACGTTTTACGTTGGTCGGCTTAAGCCGTACCATCAGTACGCTGCTTCTTCCGATGAAGAACGCCCTTGCGCTCAAGCATCTCGCAGAGAGCCTTGTGCTCCCGATGGTAGGCATCAACAAGGGTCTGAAGAGCAGTTATCTCAGCCCGAGACCGATCAGCAATCCCAAGAGCTACCCTTAGCTCGTCACGAAGAGATGTCAGAGATCTCTCGTTCTCAAGCTGAGCAAAGGAAAACTTAGCTCGATGCTTCGAGGCAGTGTCCACCATTTGGAGACGTCTATTCCGCTCATGTTCGAGATCATCGCGTAACCCTTGCGTTACGCGATCAAAGAAGCTCTCGGGAACACACCGATCCACATGATCGCGTGGAGAGCGTCTTTCCTCCTCCTCCACCTCCATTAGAGGACTCTCGCGGTGGCCAGCGCCATCTAGTTGAGCAGCTGTTGAACCACCGCGACGTGAACGGACGTCGAACGAGTTATCTCGTCCGGTGGCGCGGCTATCCCCCGTCCTGGGACTCTTGGGAGCCCCGCTCCCAACTGATGATCGACGTACTGGGTCTGGTTGAGCAATACGACGCGGCACATCCTATTCCGCAGAAGGACCGCCGGAGAAAGTCTTCCCGGCACGGTCGTAAAGGGATTTCAGGTTGTCAATCCCTTCGTACATCTCAGTAGAGATACGTACGCGCCACCACGGGCTGGTAAGGAGGTAAGCCCCCTTAGGTGCTCGTGCAGAGTTGTTCAAACAACATGGGCACGAGTCTCCCCAAGAGAGGCAGGGTAATCCTTTCTCCCTTGACAGACGATGCAGCTTGTAGCGTGCACCTGTCGGGGTTCGCTTTTCAAACTTATCACGAGCTTTGATAAGTTTGTCGTTCCAAGCGTCACGACCTACATCCCCAAGGTTATGGATGTACGCATTCCACGCCTGAAGCAGTGAGGGACCATCACGCTTGTGATTTCCACTGTACCATCGATGTCTAAAGAAAGCATCGATGAAGAAATCATTCTCAGCGCGATAGTTTTTCGCGCTGGGGTCAAGGTGATGGATCCTTGACGAGCCGAACAATCGTGTTCGATAACGATCACTCGTCGTCGCCGACAAGTGATCCATGACAGATTTAGGAGGCAGCCATGCCTTCTTCTCGGGAGCGAGACGCAAAACATTGCGGTCCCGCTCTTCCTGCGACGTGCCGCCAGAAGTACTGGCACCTCGCTGCGAAGTGGTGTCAATAGGAGACCCGACACCACTATTAGCGCCCGAGTCTCGCGACCTCGAGTGCCTTCGCTTCGGCGACGGTCATCTCATTCGTCAGATGAACCAAAGATGCTACGACTCATAGCATCGTCCATGCCACGCTTGGCAGGCGGCTTAGATTCAATCGCCGTCGGTACAGATCCATCTTCCGTATCAGGAGAGTATGATACACCGAGCTCAAACTCTGTGAAGACATGAGTGTCTTCATGACGAGCGCCTGCATCACCAGGTGACACAGGCTGAGTCGCTTCAGCAACCGATGAGACATCAGTTGCTGTGGTTTCTGCTTCGGCGTCCGCACAGAGACGTGCGGACGCGCTCTCGGCGGCCTTGCTCGCGCATCGCATGGGCTTGTTAACCATGCGATGAGATGTTGGAAAGTGGACGCGGACCAACAAGTGCGAACGCTGTCCCAAATGATTTGGGACGAGTATCCATTTAGTCAATCAGTCACTAAAGTGACTGATGGTTAGGGGGGGGTGATGTAACGGGGTGAATCGTTACATAACAATTTATAAGAAATTGTTAATAGAATATAACTATAAGAGTTATATTCTCAGAATATTGTCATAAGGACAAATATTCTGTAGCACTTACGAGTAGTTCCTAATTGGTTGATATAGGCCATTATATCAACCAACGTAGACGCGCCACGACAGACGCACGCTATAAGTGGTGAGCAGATAGTTGATATGCACATTTGTATTTAGACATAGTTAGATGAAGATAAATAGTGATTTATTGCAGACATTAACTATTATAAATACAGTTCTACTTTTTACTTTAACCAAGTACTCGCTTCTTCTTACCGTCTTCCTCTGCACGTACGAGTGTACGTGAAGTTACGAGGCACCGCCTTATTCTGTCATCAGAATAAGTAGCTTGTAGTGTCACCAGTACAAGCTTCAGGGTGCCCCGTTACAGGTAGTGTCAAGTACGTCCATTATTCACGACTAACTAACGACCGAAGTTTACAGGAAGTGTGATCCGAAACCGGATCCACAACGTGGGTGCTCCGAAGAGCCAGGGGCGAGGGTAGCGGAGGTCAGAGACATCCAACCCAAGCCAGATTCGAGCCTATCTTTCAAGCGCTCTCAGTGCAACGCTGCCCTATGCAGCAGAAGATATTAAGACCGTTTTAAGGACTCCCAACTAAATCGGTGACCGCTTAGCGCGGCCAGCCGACCTTTAGCGCGAGAAACCAAAGTTACTTTACGCGCCGGGAGAATGCCACTAAAATCAGGTACATACTCCTTTGTGGCCGCTAAAGCGACCGTCCTGGTTGGATGTCGCTATCGTCGAGGCGATAACAATGGCGGGGAAACTACTACCCGCCCGATTTTATACATTAGAAGCCGGTCCATCCGCGATGGTGGGCCTCCGTGTGCCGTTTGCGCGACCCCTTGACGCGGAGTACTATCACCGAAGTGACATCAAGGCGTGGGAATCGCCAACCCCCCCTGTAACGGGGCACCCTGAAGCTTGTACTGGTAACAGTACAAGGTACTTGTTCTGATGACAGAATAAGGCGGTGCCTCGGAACTTCACGTACACTCGTACGTGCAGAGGAAGACGGTAAGGAGAAGCGAGTACTTGGTTAAAGTAAAAAGTAGAACTGTATTTATAATAGTTAATGTCTGCAATAAATCACTATTTATCTTCATCGAACTATGTCTAAATACAAATGTGCATATCAACTATCTGCTCACCACTCACTGCGTGCGTCTGTCGTGGTGCGTCTTCTTTGGTTGATATAATGGCCTATATCAACCAATTAGGAACTACTCGTAAGTGCTACAGAATATTTGTCCTTATGACAATATTCTGAGAATATAACTCTTATAGTTATGTTCTATTAACAATTTCTTATAAATTGTTTTGTAACGATTCACCCCGTTACAAAGGCAATGTTGCATCCATGGCTTTCTCATTTACTAAATCACTATCGCCGTAAGTCCTGTTGCTGTGTAGCTTGTCGCGCTGTCAAAAAGCGTTACGACTATTCACTGGAGAGCTTGATGGTGTCTCCAGGTTGGCCAAGGCGTCCAACAATCACCTGATCTCAACCTCAAAAACTTTCAAATTAGGGAAACATTCCTTGTTTGGCATTGAAGCACCCAAGTTGGCAGGCCTTCCTTCAGCTTTGGAATCTGAGCACCCCTCGGGCTTGTGGCGAAAAGCTTGTTATCTGTCATAGATTCAAGATCAGTGTGCTTCTTGATTATGAGAGAGATGTCGTTCTAGGTAAGCTGAGATACAAACTTGCCGAAAGTCCAATTCGCTAGAACAATTTGGCTCAATTGCATATTTCTGGTCTTGTGCTAGCAAATCTCGAGCCTTTGTGCATTGGTGGCAGTACTTGGACCATGATTTTATCAAAATAAAAAGGGAGCCGCTAATTAATAGATTTTTCTTTTCACAAAAAGAAAAGGACAAATTACGTAACTCATAACTCGGCTGATTCATAGAATTTGTCTCTACCAAGCCGATGAGTTATCCGAAGAATGACGGTAGCGTCCTTGGGTATACCCGCACCACGGGTGGCTTATCGACACGAAAAGAGAATAGCTGATGGATACTCTATCTGCTTATTATTCAACCTCCTGCTTTTCGTATTCAGTTACAAATCCTCGCTCGTGTCCAGGTAAAGTCCCCACCCTGCGCTCAGCTTGACGGAGAAATATGTACGCATCGATCATCCCTCGGCGCGAAGTTTACAGCACCTCATAGCACTCAGCCTCGTGTGTTTATTCCACCGACATTATGGCATACACATTGTTTGGTCTTATCTCTCTTACCGCATCATACGGTGCGGATGGTATCGTCATATCTTGAAGTAGTATGTATCGGACTTGCTCAACATAAACGTCGAGTACAGCAACGGGTATGCTGTCCACTCTGTCAGGCGCATGTGAATAACCGATCGCTTGAGTGTGTCTGTTATGGAGAGCTGGGTGCCGGCACAGCAGATGTACTTTCGTCAACTGGTGACTGGATCTGGCTGTCATCCTCCTCGTCGTCGTCGTCCTTGCTACTGCGCGGGCTGCCGCAGATCGTCAATGACTTCGTAAGAGAAATCGTGGCCTTCACAGTGCTGACTGCAGCACGAAATTTACTGCGCGCGTTAAACTTGCGCAGCTCCTGCAGCGCCGTCGTAAGCTGCACGTCCTTCACAGCATCAGCCGCAATCCAAGGATGGTCCAGCAACCGGCGCGCCGTCCAACGCTCCGTCGGTGTCAGAATTAGCATCTTGCTGATAAGGTCTTTAGCCTCTGCCGACACATCGTCCCAATATGGCGAGTCAAACTCGAAACGTCCCGCTTTGATGAGTCGGAAGAGCGCACTTTGATTATCATGATGAAACGGAGGATACCCACACAGCAGAATGTACGTGATGACTCCGATACTCCAAATGTCCACTTCTTTGCCGTACGGCTTCGACAGCAAAATTTCAGGAGCAACGTACCCAGGCGTACCACAGGCTGTGGACAGCCCCGCATCTTTGCTCTGAATTGCTGCTTTTTTTGCAAAGCCAAAATCAGCCAACTTGATGTCTGCGTCGTCGTCTGCACTGCTCAATAGCAAATTCTCGGGCTTTAGATCCCTATGAACCACGTCAGCATCGTGACAGAAAGCAATGGTCTGCAGCAGCACCTTGACAAGGTCTCGTGCTTCTCTCTCCGAGTAAAAATTCTTCTTGACAATGCGTTCAAAGAGCTCCCCTCCCGGCATGAACTCTGTCACTAAGAAAAAGTATTTCTCCTCCTGAAACACGTCGTACAGCTTGACAATATGTGGGTGCTGCATTTCCCTCAAGATCTTCACTTCTGCCACCAGAGCCTGCAGATCGTCCGCCGACAACTGCGTGCGCTTGATGCACTTGATCGCAAAGCGCTCGCCCGTCGTCTTGTGCGTCGCTTCTCGGACCACGGAGTACGTTCCAGCGCCCAGCTCCTTGCCCAGTGTATACACGTCTGCAAAGCGTTTTCCGTCTTCGTGATTCGTAATCGCTCCAAATTGCACAGCAGGTGGTGGAGGCGGGACCAGAAAGCGCACGACACGCTCAGCGCCACTCGTGCTCACGAGGATCTCACGGACCTTTTCAAAGCTCCACGAGGCCTCCGCGTCCGTGAAGTCGTGGTCGTTCACGCCCAGTAACAGCGAGTTGGGTCCGATCTCGCCCTGTTTCTCGAGGGCGCTGAGCTCAGCTGAGCTGCTGACGGGACGGAAACCGTCCACTATGACGTGGCCCTCACCCGTTGCGTTCTTGCTGACGATCAGACCTAGCGGACCCGCGGGCACGACGACTTCGACGCGTTTCCACTGTGAGCGATCGGCCATGTCGGACGGAGATCGCGACGGAAAGCGGATGTGGGTGCGGCTGCGACGACTGCAAAAACGACGTGAGACGTTGGATGGAAAAGAGCGACTGAGGGAACTGTACGTAGAGAGCTGCTGAGACGGATTGGTCCTCTGCTTTTTTTGTGCGATTGACGTAAATTAAATGCGATGGAAAATTGGAAGACCGAGATGGTGGGCTAATTTGGGTTGAGAGCGAGCGCATAAAATCCAGTGACTGGATATTGCTGGCAAAAAGGAGGGTGTGAAATGGGCAGAGTACTGGGCAGCGGTGGAAGATGGATAATTGCGAGCCCGAAGGGTGAAGTTCGCAGTCGCTGGTGCGCAAGCGGAATGCCGAACTTTTAAATCGTACTTATCTGTGTGCATTCGTCTGTCTGCCTATCAATAACGCGGTTAGGTGTACCACACAGACTAAGTGCGATCTAGCCTGTCCCCTTCTCATCGGTATACAGGCACATTTGAGGTCACTCTTCAGCTGTGTCACTATTGACAGGCACACACGTGATTGGCTTAAAATCGATCAAAGGTGAATATGGTCACGTAAGCAAATGCGAGACGCTCAATAGCAAAGGCTGATCGTGTTGCTGCAGTATACTGCGCTGCTTTAATAACGACACTATCAGCATCATACTCATTCTTCAGTGACTGCCACTGTATGATGTTTTGCAACTTGATCTGGTTCGCCGAACCGAATTACTTTTATCGAAGGGCGAGCTCCAGAGCTTGCTCCCCTATCTGATCCCACTTTCAGTCGAGAAGCTCCTGGTCATGGCGGTACACAGAGGGGAGGAGGAGCAGGGAGAGATGATGTCGAAGACGAGCCACGACATGGAGCCTCCTCGCCATTTTGCTGCCACTAAACGCGCAGCGCCTGGGGAAAGAGACTGGAGCGCAGAGGCGAGTCAAGAGCTGCTACGACTGCGCTTTCGAGAGTCACGCGGTCTCTTTGACGACGCCCAGACGGTCGCGGACGTGCACGAGGCCTGGAGCGTCGTGGCGTCGAAAATGAACGCCAGTGGCAAGTGGGGACCGCGCGTGGACGCTATCGAGTGCAGCGACCATCTGATGAAGCTGCGCCAGCAGTGGCAGGAGAGCAGTACGGCTCAGCTGCACTTGATGATGGCCGAGTGCTTTGGCAAGAGCGCAGAGGTGCCACCGTCAGCAAGCAACAACATCAACCGAGCCATGGAGGAAGCTTTAGCGCAGGCTTCAGCGAGTACGAGGGCTCATGGTCCGTGCAAACGGAGCAGGACAATAGGACAGACGGACGTCGTGTCACCGCCACGTGATCTTGTGTCTCCAGCTCAAGCCGAAACGCTGACGAGCCACGAAGGGGCTAACGTTGATGAAACCGAGTGGTGCATTGGACCATCTCCGACGTTGCCTGAGTCTGCGCCTGTATCTGCTCACAATATCCTGTCGGCTGGACTGCATGGAGGCCGGTTGGTGTCCGATCCAGCTTTGACATCTCCCCATTCCGTGTTCGAGACGCTTCAGGAATTTGCACTGCCCGTAATTCTAGATGAAGAGGAAGAGTTCCCGCGACAAGACGAAATTGTGCGGGCAATCGAAAGTCGATCCCAGCAATTAGAAAAACTGAGTCATGCGCACCGGGGTCTTGCTAGTGTGACTCATCAATTGATGGAGGCGCTTAACAGTCGTCGCAGCGCTGTTTCGGGCTAACACGATGAAGCTTTCTATTCGTGCCTGGCTTGTAGTATTGCTGTGTTTCACAATCTAAAGTACATAAATTGAGGTATACGTGTCTACTTGCGTATACAAGCACAAAGACAGACCTCTGTATAAGAATACCACTACTAAAAAAACAGCGTGACTCGGTTGGCGCAGGAATAAATCCCATTTCGCAGTTGGTCCACTATGTTCAAGCACTTTAGTGTCGACGAGCACGTGAGCACGAGCAGCAAGGTCAAGTCTTCACAGCAACGCAGCATCCGGTCCAAGGTAGTGGAGCAGTATCCGGACTTGGCGCCGTATTCGGAGATGCTCATGCCCAAGAAAGCAGCGATGGTAGTCGCAAAATGGTGCGGCTTTTTGCTTGTCTGATATACCGCATCATGTACTGTGATATGACCGTGTTGACGAAAATCTTATGTTACACGTGACACTAGTCACAACCATATTCAGATTGTGCTGCATGAAGGCGAACCCGTTTTTTTCAACCAGCGCGACGGACCGTTTATGCCCACGCTTAAGCTGCTGCACAAGGGCATGTGTACTAGCCTCGTTCGAGAAAGAAGGACCGTCAGGACTGACTATTGATGGTGTGGCTGTAGTGCCGCATGTGATGAAGCAGGTGCGCGCAGACAAGGGCGCGATCCCGTTTGTGCTCTCGGGAGCTAACGTCATGTGCCCTGGCCTCACCTCGGCGGGAGGTGACATGCCCGAGTCCCTTGAGGCCGGAACTCCAGTGGTGAGTGCAGCAAAACAACTGTGAGGTGCTGGCTCGCTGAGAAGCTAATGTCGGAGCTTTGCTTTTGCTGCACAGGCTATTATGGCGGAAGGGAAGGAGCACGCGATGGCGATTGGCATCTTGACCATGTCCACTGATGACATGTGCGATGTCTGGCTAGATTGTGATCCTGCTAAGTGAGGCTGTTACTTACTGAGGTGTTGGATTTTGTACCCACAGCCGGAACAACAACAAGGGCGTAGCGATCGAGATGGTGCATTTTCTCGGCGACGACCTCTGGACATGCCCGCATATCGATTAGGCAGCGGCAAGCCAGCGGGCCTGCGAGGCGCGAGGATTCCAGTAGATAGGTACCTGGTAGGTACAAGCGGAGGCAGTCGTCACTCTCTGCTGCGACCTTGTTGACTTGATTGTTGCAAGTCCGCCTTACAGTATCTTTACGACATGGCGCTGTGTAGGAACACGAAGCTCCAGGTACTCTCAAATGTTGGTCATCAAAGTCAAGCTGCTAACTTTACCAATCCTCTCACGAAATACGGTCACTTTTTGCCCTCGCCGTGCAGTCATCTATGGCTGGTTAATCTGCTGGCGTCACCGATATTTGATACAGCTTTGTGTAGCTTCCAATCGAAGTTGTGTGTGTTGACGTTTGAGGCTGCAGGCTGCAGTTCTATGCCACCCCCCATTAGCGAGTTTCCAATCGTAAAAGCTGGCGGGCCGCGAGGTGGTGAGCCTAAACTACTTGTCGCGTTGCAGCTGCTACTCTCCGTATTGTTGGTAGCATCGGAAGAAGAGGAACTCGAATTGGAGCCTGCCGTCGTAATGTGAGGTACCGCCACAGTCATGCCTTCCCGAGGGTCGCTAAACTCGCTACACACAATTGTGATTGGGACCAGCCTGTCCGGACCAATACCTGTCTTTGACTGCGGCGCCAGTACACTGTCCAGGTCTCTGATAGTCTTGTTCGTCTCATTGGTTAAGCTCGAGAACGATTCTGGTCTATCCGGGCTCGAACGTGTTGCTAAAAGGTTTGATAGTGGAATGCCGCCGCCCGTGAGTGAGTTGTGGGACAGAAAAGCTGGTGGATCATCCGGTGGAGACCCGAGGGGAATCGATGTATCTTTGGCGCAGTCGTCCGTACAATCGCGAGTCGAAGTGTCTTTGTTACTGTCAATCTTGAAAGGGAGCGCGGGGAACTCAGCTCCGCCTTCCAAAAGCAAGTCCGGTACAGAAAGTGGCGGAGGACATCTCGATAACAGCCCTGAATCTGTCACCATCGATATGTTTCCAGTGCGGTGTGTTGCACTGCTGCATCCGAAGCGCAAGGTGCTATTGTTGGGACCGCACATCTCACGATGCTTGTCGCTATGCTCATTGGGTGTTAACCTTGCCGACAACGCATAGGGGGCATGACCATTTCCATTCTGTGAAGCCAAAAGCAGGGCTATCCGCGAGTCCTCCAGTCTTTCGTTCATCCTGCGATCGGTCCTTTCCGATGACCATGGCAGCGTATTGGTGCTAGAATCCGACATTGTGGCGATGGCAATACAATCGTCGGCGGAAGACGTTGTTGGGAGCTGCACTTGTGTACTCGCGGTTGCTTCGTGTAGCGCCGGCGGATACTGGGTAGACGGCAGAGATGTATGGTGTAGCACAGATGCTCGCCCGGCGTTCGGATCCTCCTGCGATTTTGTCGATGAAGCCATTTCAACTGTTCGCAGTCTTCTTGACGATGGAGTTGAGCAAAGTGAACTTGAATCTGGACAAGATACTTGGAAGTCACCAAGTCTTCTCAATCCATCGGTGTCATTACGGATGAACAACGAACTCGTTCTTAGCGGAGGGTCACAACCCGCTTCATTCGTACTAGCTGCCCGAAGTCTCACGTCCGAAATATGTAAAGGTAATGACGACGCACCCAAAGTCGCTTCATGAGCAGCAGGTGCCTCAGCTGCTGAGCTCGAGCGCATGTCTGGTGTATTCGTAGACAGGGTCGAATGGTCCATGATCTCGTTCTTGGAGCTATGTTGTCCGTCCCTGCGCTGAATAGGCTGGCGAAACTGCGGCTCGTAGAAAATGGGCACATGTTTTCGGTTTGGTCTTGGCTTAGGCGGCGAGCTGGCCATCGATTGTGGCTGTACAGCAGCCCGTCGACTATTCCGCTTCCTCTTCCCAGCAGACTTGGAGAACAGGAACGAAGACATGGACGCGACACTCGCTGTATCGTCTGCAGACGGTTGATCGTGGCGTCGGATCTTCACTTTCAGCGTCCCGCTCTCCGTGGTGGCCATAAAGGTGTTTTCTTCGTGCTGCTGACGCTTCTTCTTTCCATCTGCTCCAAAAGTAGCACCAAAGAAAATCAACATTAGGATGGACGAGCTAACCGTCACGCAGTTCATCCACACGGCCATGTGCGGAGCAAGTCTGCAACTAATCAGGCACTGGAAACGAAGCGAAAGTCGTGTCTGCAGTTGTACAAGGTAGCGCCGAACAAATCGACGCACCAGCAGTGGAGCTTTCCATGATTGAGCTATTCGAGCAGTAGAATAGTGGCTGTAACTGATGTTTTGCATTTTGCATCATTCGTGTTGCAAATTGTACCTGCAGTCACAATAAACACTTTTTATACGCCATACCGGGGAAGCTGCGATATGATAGCACATTGACACAAAAACGACAGCGCTGGCACAAACTTTACGATAATGTACATGTGGGTGTAATCATTTTACAGTCTTAGGTAAGCCTGATCGATAAAAACGTTCTGTGGTTATAATGCAGACGCAAGTACGATGTTGGCAGCGGTGACATTGCCAAAACACTTAGATCATCTTATGAGAGACGATGACAAAGTCACAGCATTGTCGAGTGCAAGTTTTACTCTTACTTCGATCCGGAAATAAAGAGATAGTGTGGACAATTGTCAATGGCATCGTATTGATCAGTCGTATAGTCCCCGCAGAAGAGACATATGCCTCTCCTCTATGCATGGTATACTGTGAAAAGAGGCCTTCCGGATACACTTGATACCGTTTTTGTAGCTTGTACAGCGCGTACGGACTTGGACTTCGCTATCTGGTGCTGGAGAATTTGCAGAAGTAGCACATGTGGCCCCAGCTCTTCTTTGAGCTTTGACAACTTAGTTGAGTAATTTGCGACCCAACGACATGTTACTGCAAGGACTTCTCTTATTACACAAGCGGAAACCACTCCAGCTTCAAGCGCCTATTCGCGCTTTAGCACATGTGCGCGAGTTTGCCTGAACGTGTTCATAGCCTGCGACGTCTTAGTAGCGCGAATGAACCAGTCAATGAACCACATGGGCATGATGGTCGCCACGAGCTCCAAGACACGCAGAACAGGCGGCAGCAGCACCCGGTACTGATTTCTGCGCACTGCGTCCACGAGTTCTTTCGCTACGAACTCAGGCGTCAACCACTGCGTGAACCACGGGATCGTCACGCCATCAAACATCCCTGTGGTGATAAAGCCAGGGCACACGATAGTTGTATGCACACCGAAAGAACCCATGGCCTGCAGCTCCTGCCGTAGACTGCGCATGAGCCCGATTGCTGCAGATTTACTGGCGCCATAGTCGACCATCCCAGGAGATCCAAAGATGCCAGCGGCACTGGCTACTGCAACGATATGACCCCTATCCCTCTGCATCATCATTGGTAGAAACGTTTTGATGGTCCAAAAATGTGACGTGGCGTTCACGGCCATCGTGCGCTCGATCGAGTCGTCCGATGTCTCACAAACGGAGCGGCCGTCGACGATCCCCGCATTGTTCACAAGAATGTCCACTGCTTTCCACTCACTGAGCACTTGGCGGCCAATCACGACCACTCGCTCCCGATCCGTCACGTCGACGTCGTAGAATTGGGCCGTGCCGCCCGCAGCTTCGATCTCAGAGACGACGCGACGACCTGATTCCGGGTGCAAGTCCCAGATCACGACGACAGCGCCCAGAGCAGCAAAATTGAGCGCGACGAGACGCCCTAGACCTGTGGCGCCACCGGTGACGACGACGACGTTGCCCTGGACGGACTTGAGCGGCCAGATCCAGTCGAACATGGACAGGACGAGGAAAAGGGCGATGTCTGATATGTGTGTGTGTGTGATATGTCGGAACGGTGTTGAGGATGATTCCCCGGGTTGTTGTGCGGACCGATGGGTTGTTTACAATGGACCTGATATACGCTCGGGTGGGTGGGTGGGTGGATGCTGGCGGGTGATTTAAAGCCCCGTCTGCCAGACCTTTAGAAATGGTGTGGACAGAAAAACTTGCCCGTCACCTCACAGCAATGTGTCACTGGTATTAGAGCTGTTGGACTCTCGTCCAATCACATTCGTTTCCACAATTCCTTTCTTCCAATCATCTGTCTGTGACAGCTTGATCCAATTACCCGCTCACTCAGCTAGAACCCCCACCCAACCTGTAGGTACCCCCACCTCTGCCTCCTCTTCCTCGTCCGTGAAGCCCTCTGTCTCTCTGAATGGAATCAGACGCGAGCTTCGGCTCCAGCAGCAGCTCCAGCTCGGACTCCGTGTTGATCCGCGTCCCCCTGGACCAGAAGCGCCGCAAGAAACTGCGCGCCCAACTCCAAGAAGATCAGCGCCGACACGGCGAGCACCAGTCGTTCCTTGCCGCTTCGTGCAGTCCAGACGCTCACCCGCGCTCCCCGTCTTTTTCAACGGACCTCCTCGAGAGCCACGACAGGAGCAAAGTGCGTCGTGATTCTTTGCAGTGTATCGAGGGATTGTTCCCTGAAGTAAATGCCTTCTGGACTAACACTCAAATTGCTCGTTGTCGATTGCTTTTCTGATTCTGATTCCGGTTTTGATTCAGCAGAGCGAACACATTTGCGTCGTCTGCGAGCAAGAAGGCGGCGGTCTCGTCGTGTGTCTAGGGCCCTGTATCTCGGCCTTCCACGTCCGTTGTCTACCGCCCGACAGCGGCGCCGCAGAAGCCCAAGACGAGGCCTGGCTGTGTCCAAACTGCAAGAGCAAGACCCACGCGTGCTTCCATTGTAAACGAGTGGGCGTGGAGATGCTGGCGGACGACGTGCGAGCCACGACGCACTCGGAATCGCCAAAGCGACCCGTCCGCAAGTGCCGCGCGCTCTCGTGTGGCAAGTTTTACCACCAGGAGTGCATCTCGCAGTTCCCGCTGGCCAGAATCGCGATCAACACGCACTTTATCTGTCCGCTTCACACGTGCGCAGGCTGTAACCAGTCGGGAGCACAGCAAGAAGCGGTGAGGTGCATGAGGTGTCCCGTGGCGTACCACGCACGGTGTTTACCACGGAATTGTGTGCGACGGATCTCGACCAAGCTGATCATCTGTCCGAAACATGCAGGAGCTGAGAAAGAGGGGACGGGTAGCAATGACGGGATTGGGGAGAGAGAGAGCAAACAGAGTGTGAAAATTGCCACGTCCAAGCACGCGAGCCGTGAGCGTGCGGGCAATGAGGATGAGGTCGTGTCGGAAGCGTCGGTGGTTAGTGCGAGTAGTGCGAGGAGAAAGGAAAAGCGAGAGAAGCGAGAAAAACGCGACAAGAAGAAGAAAAAGAAGAAGAAGAAGAAGGACAAACACAAGGAAAGAAAAGAGAGCGTGGTAGCGCAGGGTAATGACGCACTTTACTACAGAAATGGAGAGCGTGGCGGAAAAAAGCGTAAGCGGAGCAAGAGAGATATACTGGAGTCGGACGGAAAGACTGTCACCCAGCGTGTCGATAAGGGCAGTGTTCCGACTTCGTTGGATCGCCGCGTGGACCTTTCGGCTGCTGCTCAGTCTGCAGGATCCACAGTTGCGTGGGCATCGTGTTCATCGGTGTCATCATTAGCACTTTCCGAGAGTCCTGCGACGGTTAATAGGCGGATACAAAAGCGTCTGGAAGAGGCATTAGGGCACAGTGACGATGATGATTCTGATATCTCGATTTCCGACCCTCCACCAAAGATGAAGCCATCTGGCAGTGATATACATGGTGTCGGCAACCTGGATACGAGTGTGGTTGTAAAAAAGGAGGAGAGCTCTAATGGGGAACGACCATGGCCTCTAAACAAATCGGAAGTCAAAGAAACAGCAACATCATCGAGCTCATCTGTTCCGGTGGATGTGCACCCGTCAGGCGATAGAGGATCATTAGTAGCCAAATCATCCACGGAAGAGGGTACAGCAGGTTTGAAGGGTAACCGTGACAAGCATTGGCAAAAAGACTATGATATGGATGCGAACACTGTTCGCGCTATGAAGCGGGAGCAACTAGTACCAGCAGAAGACGGGCTAATGCATGACAGTCAGAAGTCGCCATCTGCCAGTGTACTCATTTCATCATCGACAAGCGTCGCACCCGCAGGCTTGGCGCTAAAGCATGTACCTAGCGAAGATGAAGACGAAGACGATAACGGTGGTGTTGGACCTGCGACGCCGCCTGTAAATGCGACTCCAAGAACAAGCAGAGCATATGTATATGGAAAGAAAAAGAGGAAAAACAAGGCGAAGCGAGAAGCACAGCGCGTTCTAAAACGGGAAACGAGCGAAGAGGAAGATGACGAAGGAGATGAGGCGAAGTGGGTTCAATGTGACAGCTGCAAGAAGTGGCGAACGGTGCCAAGAAATTTTGACCTGGATGCGATGCCTAAGCACTGGTATTGCAACATGAATACATGGGACCAACGATTTGCGTCCTGTGTTGTTGCTGAGGAAGTGGTCAAGGTAGGATCATCTCCTCGAGCAGGTAAGAGACGGTATAGGCTCAAGAACTCCAAGTCGTCCGGCTCTAATGCGGGTGATGTGGGCGGCTACTCCTCTTCAGGATCAGGTGCGTACAAAAGGTCAGGGGGGCCTATGAGGTCATCTGCTGCTGACTTGACTGTGCAAGATGAAAAAGATAAAACTTCGCGGTCAAAAAACAAAGACAAGGCGACAAAAAAGCGCAAAATTACAAAGCAACTCAAGGAGAAATACCGCGAGGTCAAATGGGTTCAATGTGAGAACTCACAATGTGGGAAGTGGCGCATCGTTCCAGCTTCGATCGATTTTGACCGGTTGCCAGCGGTCTGGTACTGCCATCTTAATACGTGGGCCCCCGAGCTTGCGAAATGCAGCGTTTCCAATCCCGCGGAGGTCAATGTATTTTTGCTGAAGCAAGCTAAGAAAGACGACCGCCCACCAAAGAAAACAAAAGCGTCTATATTGATGGGCGACCCTGCACCAGTAGTGCCTGTACCAGCCACGTCGGGTGGTGGCACCATCCCGACATCTCCTGTGAATGATCCTGCTAACGCGTGCAAGCCAAATGTAACAAAGTATGGCAAAGGCGTGAAGTCTACGGCGTCTTGGACAAGAAACACACCATTACTCGTGGACAGTAACACCACCGATGAAGCATGCAACGACGGCAATAATAACGTAGATGGCGCTACTTCGGGTCAAACTACCAAAGGAAAAGGGGGGCGAGGGCACAACAACAGCAGCAACGGACACTCCACAGGCATGAAGAAGACTGTGCTGGAGTGGGCGCAGTGTGAAAAGTGCAACAAGTGGCGGAAACTACCGCAACACATCAAGTCATCCACTCTACCCGATAAATGGTACTGCTCAATGAACCATTGGGATCCGACACATGCTAAATGCAGTGTGCCAGAGGAGGCGGACCAGGAGCCCCTGTCTCTACCGCCTCATCCAGGCTCACAGTGGCACAAGGGAGGACAGAAGGGTCAGCGTTCCAGACGAGGCAAACTGAGCTACTCGGAGCTACTATATGGTAGTACGGGGCAGTTGCGAAAGGCGTATACCACAGAATCCTCTACATTGTCATTTGAATACGAAGGCATGACCTACCATCGCGATGGTCAGTATGAGCGCAGCAGCATGTACGTGTCCCCAGCAGCGATGGCAGCGGCAGCCACGATGGCAGGATGGGGCGGCAGTGATCATCCGGATCGTGCGACTACTAGCAACTGGGATGTAAAAGGAGGCAGCGAATCAAGGTTGGACACGGTATCGGCAGCGACACCTCAACTAAGCGTCGATCGTGTGGCTGCGTTGGTGCTTGAAAGTATGGATTTGCGCCAACGCCGCAGTGTCCTCGAGCTCCTCGATGTAGTGAACTCAGCCCTTGACGGACCAAAAGCTGCTCCAACTGGCCTTGCGTCACTGGCGGTTGTCACTGCTGCTCTAGGCCAGCTGGAACACCGTGGTCTCGTTGAGAAAGTGACTACATCGCCAGAGAACGGCGAAGAAAATGAGCCGTCACGAGTGCGAGTGCGAGTCGAGATGCTCTTTAATCGAGCATTTTGTCTGCCCACTCACTACCGGAAGGTGCCTACGAGGCCTTTGAAAGCGTCAAAATGCTGGAAGTATGGCACAAACGTGGTGACGGTCTCGCCCGTAAAGGATGCATCAAGCAGTCATTCACGCTAGTGAAAGTTCTCAGCGTTAACGATAAACTCCGGTGAAAGAGGATTACTGTCAAAGCAGCACCGGCGACACATTAAACGGCGTCGTCATATTAGTTTGGACAGGCAGTTTGAGTTTGCGTACATTTGATGGAAGTGCATTCAAGGGCTGGTCACACTTCCCCATCACCTCACTGTATTCTTGCCAATCGCCGACAATGCGAGTCAATGAAGTAAAATGCATAAAACATATGGCGTTTGCTCAAACGGGACAAAAGTCCACTGGGCTGCTTCTATACAGGCCGAAACTGCTCCACCCGTCGCTCGGCCATGTAGCGCTCCACTGCCAGGTCGTCGTCGTGCCCCACAATTGCGACATGTTCCACGTACGGTTGGACGCCAATGCGGGGCCTTGACAAAACCAGTGTTGCAAGTAGTGTAAACCTGTCCTCTCCCCAACACACCATGCGAACACAACATAAAAATGCTCTGAACGATCTGCAGCATGTCACAACGCCTTTACTTCACATCCTAAACGAATCGCTACATGGTGCAATCTTCCAGCACAGGAATGTAAAGGGCGTCACGTGGTGCACCTAAGCAACGCACGCGACTTCCAGCGCCGACTCCATCTCAAACTCAGCACCAACCTCCAGCGGCGAATTGGCCCACTCCACAACAGGCAAGTAGTCACCTTTGGACACGAAGTGACGTGGCAAGTCGAGCGTAGTCCACACGTCCTCCAGAGCCGTCATCAAGTCCTCCACCATCGCATCCGTGTGGGTCGGCAACGGCGTCAGCCGCAACCGCTCTTCGCCACGCGGCACAGTCGGAAAGTTTATAGGCTGCACGTAGATTCGGTGCTTCTCAAGGAGAATGCGCGAAGCCTCCTTCACCTTCGCAGCATCGCCCACCATGAGCGGGATGATGTGACTCACGCTTGGCAGCAGCGGGAAACCAGCATCCACCAGCATGTTCTTCAGCTCTTGAGAGCGAGCGTGCATGGTCGCGCGCTCCACCTGACTCTTCTTCAAGTAATTTACGGACGCCCGAGCGCCAGCGGCAAGCATTGGAGGCATTGACGAACTAAAGATAAAGCCCGAAGCACACGAACGCATGGCGTCTACCAACGCAGCGTTGCCAGCCACGTAGCCGCCCATGATCCCATAACCCTTGGCCAGAGTACCCGTCACCATCGTGATGCGGTCCAGACAATGGTCCCGCTCAGCGACACCAGCCCCGCGATCACCATACAGACCCACGGCGTGCACCTCGTCGTTGAACGTCATCGCTCCGTACTTGTCCGCCAAGTCACAAATCTCGTGCAGGGGCGCCACAGTGCCTTCCATCGAGTTCACGCTCTCAAACAAAATAAGCTTAGGAGCGTTTGGATCGGCCATTCGGAGCTTCTCCTCGAGATCCGTCATGTCGTTGTGCTTGTAAATGTACTTCTTTGCCCCGCTGTGCCGAACGCCCTGGATCATCGACGCATGGTTGAGACTGTCCGAGAACATGACCAGGTCCGGGTAGATCTTCGTCAGTGTGCTAATCACACTATCGTTGGCCACATAACACGACGTGAACAGCAGCGCCGCCTCCTGCTGGTGCAAGTCCGCCAGGTCCTGCTCCAGCAGCACGTGGTTGTGGTTCGTGCCCGAGATGTTGCGGGTGCCGCCCGAGCCAGCGCCGGACTTCATGAGGTACTCGTGCATCGTCGCAATCACTTCGGGATGCTGCCCCATGCTGAGGTAATCGTTACTGCACCAGGCCACCACCTCCTTGGTCCGGCCCAAGTCTTCGTGGTGCGTGGCACGTGGGAACTTGCCGCGTTTGCGCTCCAAGTCCGTAAACACGCGGTACCGGCCTTCCCGCTTGATTGCGTCAACCGTCTTGGCGAACCCCTCTTGGTACTGGGAGGGTGACAGCCCTCCCACCCGTTTGGGGCAAGTGGAAGTCGTGGGGAAGCGAGCGACCGCAGACGAGTACGACTGGGAGCTCCCCCGGTGTCTCGGCTCCTGCATCTTCTTCTTGAGCGCAGCGAGGCGCTGGAGCGTGGCCAAGGACGTCGTGGACGTCGCGTGCGTCTGCGACGTTTTGCTGCGACCCGCCGAGGCCGCGCTCATGACCGACGACATGTGCGGACACAGCTTGGCGAGCTGCGAGATGTTGGGCAGCAGGGCGGCACGGGCGGTGGGTAGCGCGTGCATAAAAGGGCAGCGGGAGGCGGCCTGCATGCGTCCAGCAGCGACGGAGGCGCGAGTGAGGGCCATTGGGTGGGGGGGGTAGGAGGCGCTTGAGTGGGTCGTTTCGAGTTTCGAAATGGCTCGTGGGACGCGAAATGACTCACGCGAGCGGCGGGTCAGAGAGGCAGTTGGGAGAGCGTCGTATGCGGTTTCAGAGACTATGCAGTTTGAGTGTCACCTGATACAATCAGGCTACGGTGAGATGGTCTCGAGTTAATAGACTGTGATCGGTATAAAGAGGGTTCGCGAACTCTCGGTCACGGGTGGTCAGGCTGCTGAGGGCGGAAGTCCCGTTTGTGACTCGGCGAAACGGTTCATCCCTCCTCCCCGCGTAGCATTTGAAGATGCTACTGGGACGAGTGGAGGAGGGAAGGGACGGTTGCCCGAGGCCAAATCGTGGCCATCGGAGGGTAAGAACGACGCGACGGCGGTTCAGCCAATCAGGCGGCACAAGCCGATTCGCTTTGGACCGCCGCCTGAAAGGTAGTCAGATTGAGCGCATCCTCCGACTCTATTTGATGCCTGAAGAATCTACGTACGGTGTATTCAATACCAGGGTCTTTCTCTTGCGTGAACTTTTGTAGGGACATGGCTGCTCGTAGAACTGTTTGGTGTCATATGTAAGGCGTTTGAGCTGAACTGGCTTAGGGCTGATGGACGTAGGTTGACGATGTCCTCAGGTGACACGGAGCCCAGGTATCGGTCCTTTTGTTGGAGAAAAAGTTTGGGCTGAATGCCTCGGTTTGTGAATGAAGGGAATACAGCACATAACGAACAACTGCATTCGAGAATATTTGACTTGCACTCACAAGGCTTTACAACGTTTCGTTACGAACACGGCCGTTGCAACTTTGTTCACTGCGGGGGAGATCCACCTTTCTACACTTGCGAGTCGTAACCTACAGTAGTAGCCGCGAGCTCTGCTTCGATGCGGACGAAATGAGAATATTGCAATTTCGATCGTTTCCTATCGTGTCGTACACCTGATGCGAGCTATCGGCAGTATAATGGGTTCAAGCTTGCAATCACAGCGACAGGCGTCAGCATAGTACCATCTTTTTCATTGTGTGACCAGATTCGCCTCTGTCGAGCTCAGCGTCTGCCATTGCACAAAGAGGTTGTGGGTTGTGTTTGCCTCGCTATCGCACGTGTCCACATAAAACCCGCGGCGGTGTCCAACGTGAAGCGCTGACTCCCCCCTAGAGCTCCTGAACAAGTACAAATGAAGTACATTGACGACGCAATGAGTCTTCTCGATCCAAGTCGCAATGGACGTGCAAGTGAATCGCTCAAAAGTGAGTCCTGTAGCCCTCACTCGCAAGCCGCGTTTCCATCTTCACAAAAGTAAATGATGACTTTGCATTTACCTCTATATAGTGATACCGTCGAGAATCTCTGCTTTTGTTTCGCGCCCAATGCACAAGATAACCAAAAGATTACACAATTAATTGCCTCATTCACTCCCAATCCGGTCTTTCCAACTCACTGGCATCAACAACAGCACTTCCCAGCCGTAATCCTGGCTCGAGTTCCTCCTGCCTGTCATGGGCGAGCGCAAGGTCCTGAACAAGTACTTCCCACCCGACTTTGACCCGTCCCTCGTTCCGCGTCGGAAGAGGCCGAAAAACGAGCAAGTGGAGGTGCGCATGATGCTGCCGTTCTCCATCCAGTGCGGGACCTGTGGCGAGTACATGTACCGAGGCAAGAAGTTCAACTCGCGCAAGGAGGAAGTGCTGGAGGAGACTTACCACGGCATCCGCATCTACCGCTTCTACATCAAGTGCATCACGTGCTCGTCTGAGATCACGTTCAAGACGGACCCGAAGCGGGGCGACTACGTCTCGGAGCACGGCTGTCAGCGCAACTTTGAGCCCTGGAGAGAGACCGAGGACGAGCAGGAGGCGGCGGACGCTCAACGCGTCGAGGAGGAGAAAGGAGACGCGATGAAAGCGCTCGAGAACCGCACGCTCGACTCAAAGCGGGAGATGGACATTTTGGACGCGCTGGACGAGATCAAGGCCATCAATCAGCGCCACGCGAAGGTGGATACGGACAAACTGCTGCAGCAACGTGCCGATGTGGGAACTGCCAGTCAAGACGAGCGGGACAAGCAGCTGGCAGAGGATCGACGAGAAGCGCATCGCGTGTTTGAGCAGAAAAAAGAGAAGCTGCAGCAGAAGGAAATGACGTCGAGGCGACCGGGCGACGACGCAACGGAGAAAAGCGTGTCGACACCACTTGCTTCAGCTTCTGTATTGGAGGACAAGAAATTAGCGACACCAGCGCTCAAGTTAGCTGTGACGATCACGAAGAAGAAGACAAGTGCTGCCACGAAGAAGAAGGTCAAGGTGAAGAAGCAGACTCGACCTTTGGCAAGCTTGGTGGCAGAATATAGCGCAAGCAGCGACGAATAGGATCGACAATCAACTAGACTCATCGTTCCAACAGCACTCGGCGGCATCGGGCTATGCATTGTATCATCTCCTCATCCTTACTGGTTAGGCTCATACGGCGCAAGAAGGTTCTCGGAGAACGCCTTCAGCGACGGCACGCCGCGCACCTCCTCAGTCAGCAACGGCATTTCCACAACGTGAAAATCCTCATACAGATCGTAGATCTGGTCAATGTACTTTTGCTGCATCTTTTGTCGAGCGCTGCAGCTCTTGCACGTCGAGCCCTCCTCCGGGTACAGCACTTGGTTCACCACAACGTTGTGCACGTCGATCTCGTACTTCGTGAGCTCCTGCACGAGCCGCTCCGTCTCGTACAGCGACAAGAACTCTGGGATGCAGACACACACAAAGGTCGTGCGCTCGGGATCCTTGAACTGCGCGTTCACCTTCTGGATGACTTCGCGCGTCTGCTCCAGCTTGCCCAGCAGCATTTCCTGTGACGGCAGGGCGCCACCAAGCAACGCCGATACTTGCGAGAACATGCCTGAGAACTGGTTCTTGAGCGACAGGATCTTGTCAAAAGCCTTGTCGAGCGCCCTGGGAAAGCTGAGCAGACGCAGCGTGTGACCCGTCGGGGCTGTGTCAAACACAATGACCGAGTAATCCATGTTCTGCACCTGCTTCATGAGTTCGGCAAAACTCATGGCCTCGTCAATGCCAGGAATGGAGTTAGTCAGGTCTTTCATAAACGAAGCCATGCCCGAGTTGTCTTGCACGCCGTCAGCATTCATCTCCTCGAGCTGCAACATCAATATATGAAACGCGTATCTCAGTTAACAAAAGATTGAGCAAGTATTACGTGCTCGAATACGAGCATGGCGGTCGTACGTACGTCCACGTTCGGGTCGATCTCCATCACCGAGAGATTCGAAAAGCCGTTCACTGGCGTCGGGTCGCGCGTAAACTTCTGTCCAAACGCGTCACTTTTGCATCACGCGTGACGTTTACACATATGATGGTAAACACAGTATACGAATCACGGTATTACAGTATAACGAATAACGTAAGCGAAAAGACCGTCGTCGAGTGTACCTGAGGTTATGCGCTGGGTCCGTAGACACAATGAGCACCTTCTCACGCTGTGCCGCCAGCTGAATCGCCAGACAGCAAGAGGTTGTGGTCTTGCCGACGCCACCTTTTCCACCCACAAAGATCCACTGCAACGATTCTTGCGCCACCAAGTTGCGCAAGCTCGCCTCCGGGACGTCTGCCAGATCGTCTGCCATGCTCCTATCTTGTAAATACGCGGTACCATCGTCGGTATACCATCGGTACGACACCCAATACCGGTTCTTTCCTACCGACATATTTTATGTGAAGCCACTCAAAACTAGAGGATGATGGCTGCTCTGGTCCGTGGATGTGCTGCTCGCCAGCCAACGGCAGCGCTGGCGAGTCGTACCCGCATCCTACAGCAGCAGCAGTGCTTTCTATGGGTGAAGGTGCAGGAAGGGCAGGACTCTAGCCGCGTAGCCAGTCGCATGCAGACGATTTTGGCGGAGGACGGCACGCTGAAAACGCTGGCGCTCAAGAGATTCCACGAGAAAAAGTGGCAGAAGCGCAAGCGCAAGAACGAGGAGCAGACCATTCGTCGCGCAAATCGTCGTGTCGGTTCGATGATCGACTTCATCTTGCGTCGCAAGAAAGCGTATGTATCCGGGAGTTGATGTGGTGTATGGGGAAGTTTTTATTGACTCGGAGTGAGAGATTGACCTGGTTCTTGACTGGTGTGGGCTGTACAGAGGATACTAGGAGAGATAGAGACGCTGAAGTCTACGTCGGTACCTCCACGACACGGTCACATACGTAAAGGAGAAAAGGTGGGATTAGTGTTGATGCTGCGACTGCAATTGAAACTTGTGGGGTCGCTACTGGACGGGAGTGGTCAAGGACGCCAGTATGAGTAGTTTCATCACTATAGACTTATTGGCAGGTCCTGCACGAATCGTTGAACGAAGCTGAACAATGAATCGAACAACTGGCATTTTCAGGACAAAAGTGAAGCTTCTTTTGACTACTGACTCGGATGGAAAGCCGGTAAATGATGTTACCGATCGCGCTTGCTGCACCCGTTCTAAGCAAGCCACGCCTTGATGTTAGCGATCTGCTGCTCCACAGCGCTTTTGCTCGTGCCGCCCGTGACGTTCTTGCGCTCGACACTGACGTCAAAGTCCCACACTTTCAGGACGTCTTGCTCGAACTTGGGGTGCAACGTCAACAGCTCCTCGAATGTGAGCGCGCTCAGAGCCTTGTTTTTGTCTTCAGCCAGTCGCACGGCTGCCCCAGCAACGTGGTGAGTCTCACGGAATGGGACGCCCTTGCGCACAAGGTACTCGGCCAAGTCAGTCGCCAGCATCTCCGTCACGAGAAAGCTTCGCATCTTGTCGCCGTGCGGGGTCATAGTAGCCAGCACGCCCGTGGCGATCTGCAGACAATCTTGGATCGTGTCCACCACGTCAAAAAGCGCCGTCTTGTCCTCCTGCAAGTCCTTGTTGTACGAGCGTGGCAAGCCCTTGAGCGTCACAAGGAAGCCGCTCAGACGACCAATGACAGTACCACTCTTGCCTCGTAGCAGCTCCAGCGCGTCTGGGTTCTTCTTCTGCGGCATGAGCGAACTGCCCGTGCTGTAGGCATCTGCCATGGTTACGAACTTGAGCGTATTGTAAATGATCAGGTCTTCGGACATCTGCGAGAGATGCACCATGAACATGGACGCCCAGAAGAGGAACTCCGCGACAAAGTCACGGTCGCACACTCCGTCGAGACTATTGGGCGTCACATGCGCAAAGCCGAGCGACTGCGCCAGCGCTTCGCGGTCCAGACCAAACGAGTTGCCAGCCAGCGCGCCATTGCCCAGCGGCATGTAATCCACACGTTTCGTAAGGTCCGTGAGCCGCTCGGCGTCTCGCAGGAGCGCGGCGCTGTGACTCAAAACCCACTGCGAGAAACGCAGCGGCTGGGCTGGCTGCAAGTGGGTGAAGCCAGGCATGAGGAGCTCAATGTTCTTTTCAGCCAATAGGTTTGCGGTACCAATGAGCTCGCGCATGCTTTCGTATATTTGGCCAATCGTGTGCTTCAAATAGAGGCGCACGTCAGTAGCCACTTGGTCGTTGCGGCTGCGCCCCGTGTGCAACTTGCCGCCCACGGCGCCCACGAGTTCCGTGAGACGGCGCTCATTGGCCGTGTGGATGTCCTCGTCTCCTTCCTTTGGCTCGAAAGCGCCTGTCGCCCACTCGTGGCGCACTTTGTCCAGTCCCGCGACGATCTCGTTGGCCTCGTCTGACGTCAAGACGCCGCTCTTCTCCAGGCCACGCGCGTACGCCTGGCTGCCATCCAGATCGACGCTCCACATGCGTTTGTCCACGGACAGCGACTCGTTGAACTTGTTCATCACGGGGTCCACATTGCCGCGGAAGCGACCGCCCCAGAGCTTCTTCGCTTCTTCCGCCATATCTGGATCGCGTGCGAACTTGGGAATTGAGACCTCGACGGACGTACTTAGGATCAAATTGACTTGTGTGTGTGCGTAAATCAGCGCGCGCTGTGAGCAAATTCTATATTTACACATAGCTATCAACATATATCAGGAGGGTGTACCACATAAAATAGTCACGCAAAGTGGTACATGGGTACAACCCCAATATCGCGATACGCATCGTATCAAGTTGATCTCGGTCTCAAAAGCCATGGCGGAGATGACACGCTGGGACGACATGACCGTGTGGGAGACCTCGGGCTTCCTGCGTTTCTTGCAGGAGCACCACATTCAAGTAAATGACCTCCTGGACTCTTCATGTCATGAAGAAGCGCGACGTTTCTTTAGGTATCGAACTATAAACTAGCGACTTTCTGTTGCACCTAATCCAGTGAGCTCTAATGTAAATTTCACTCCTGACTATGTCCATGGCTATGACGCCCCTTAGACTCAAACAAAGTGTAGCAAAGGAAGGAAATGTGAACTACGGTCGAGACACTCGACTGCAGTCGATCGCCGCTCATTTTGTGGCCCGAGAAACAGCAGATAGTGACAGTGAAGCAACGCAGAGAGTCACGCCACAAGCTGTCAACTGGCTTCCTGGTTTCTACTCATTGCCGATGTCCCTACCATTGGCTCGAGTTGGTCTTTACCAAGACGGGCAAGTGTACGGCATCGATGTCTCGTCGGGTTACGCTGTATCGTTGCTGAATATCCAGCCAGGAGAGCACGTACTGGACTTGTGCTGTGCTCCAGGAGCTAAATTGACCATGATTGCTGACCTGCTTCGGTTGCAAGGCAGTGTCACAGGGGTTGACTATTCACGCGCTCACGATTGGGTGCCTGTCGACAACTAGTGTACAAGTACAAGCTTTTTCGAGAAGAGGAAGATGTCGCAGACGTGACGTGGAGATGTAGACTCTTCCATGCAGATGGAAGAGTGTTTAACATCGGACCAAAGACAGAGTGCAATGGTTTTGCTGGCTTACAAGTGCTACTAGATACACATGAGATTGCGTCGAGAGCACCGAAAGATCGAAAGCGAAAGCGCAAGAACAAAAGTGCTCGAGCGCGAGACGCCAAGCGACAGCATGTGTTGGAGATCGACCCGGCTCTGTATGACAAAGTGCTGGTGGATGCAGAGTGCACACACGATGGGTCAATTCGCCACTTGCAGCGTCTGAATACGGCGGCCAAGTGGGACGAATACGTACACGACCATTTGAATCCAAGTGAAGTGGATCGAATCCTTACACTGCAGCACGACCTCATTCGGAATGGCTTCAACTTATTGCGTCCAGGAGGTACTATGATTTACAGTACCTGTAGTTTATCCACAAAGCAGAATGAAGACATCGTGTCAAGGTTTCTCACCGATGAAACGCGCGCTAAGCTTGACCCGGTTGCGCGAAGCAAAGATATACCCTGTCAAGTACGTACAAAAGTTCGGGCACGAGCGATATGGTCCGCTGATTTGACTGACATGAACTGTTATGCAACGACTGACTCGGGCAGGAAGGCAAGCTTCGAGGCACCTTACGTTTCATACCGTCGCACAATACAAGTGGGCTCTTTATCGCCCGAATCCACAAGATAGCAACAGAATTACGAGCAGTCGGACGAAAGTAGAGATTAGAGCTGACGCTCATAATTTGAGGGTGGCGAACAGGACGACAAGGAATACCGATACAAAGTCGCGAATATGGGCGTATGACGCCCTTATTACAGTACCATGTTGCCGCAGACAGATAGCAATCACCGTTGCCCGAGTTTATGAATCGTCGGATGAAACCCTGCTAGTCGGTGTTAGATACCCAGCTACTCAACAAGGTCCAACTGATGCAGTGACTTGGGCTGCACAGTGTCTGCACCGCGCTTAAAATCTAGACACTCAGGCTCAATCGACACCCACATTCTACTGGAACGCGACTAAGATACCGACAAACACGCACGCGCGCACTTGTCGTTGGAGGTTATAAGAGTCTTGTAGACAACAGTTTGACTTCGGTGGTCATCAACTACTCGCACCTACAGCACATCCTCCATTATTATATGTCGATTTGCTGAAAAGAGCTTATTGCAGTACGCTTTGCAGGTCATTTCGCCAGCGTTGTAACACTAAAAGGCTGCTCTTTTGTTTTGTTTTAGCATGTGCCGTGTTGGTGACGTTTTGCAGCGATTGTTTTGGTACAAAATATGCTGGGCCCACACCAGCCTTACTGGACTGCCGAGCTCTGGCTTCTTTATAGCAAATTTGAAGTGACACCTAATCTTCTTTTACATTTGAGAAAAAAGAGCGACCATTTGGTGAAGATGTTAGTAAGTGAAAGGGCAAAGAGTTAAGGACCGATACTGGTAAAACCACTTTCAAATCGGTTAAATTGACTAATTTTTGGGAAAAGTACCAAAATACCCCTGTACTTTTATAAATGACAAAAATGCCCTTGGCTATAGCCCAGGCATCAAATGCTGGCAAATATCTTCCCCTGTAAATTTTGAGTATATTACATGTAACCAAAATGTCCCTGGCTATAGCCTGCATGCATACGCGAAAAACAATTACGCAAAACATAATAACATCACTTTACCTCACCGGCGCGCCCCTTCATCACTACTTCTCCGCACAAATTATGGCGGAACATCAGCTTACCGTTGGGACGGAGTTTTCGGATGCGAAAAGATGCCGCAAAGCAGTCAAAGCGAGTGCCATCGCCGAACGATTTGTGTAACGGGGCACCCTGAAGCTTGTACTGGTGACAGTACAAGCTACTTATTCTGATGACAGAATAAGGCGGTGCCTCGTAACTTCACGTACACTCGTACGTGCAGAGGAAGACGGTAAGAAGAAGCGAGTACTTGGTTAAAGTAAAAGTTGAACTGTATTTATAATAGTTAATGTCTGCAATAAATCACTACTTATCCTCATCTAACTCTGTCTAAATACAAATGTGTAAATCAGTTATCTGCTCACCACTCATTGAGTGCGTCTGTCGTGGCGCGTCTTCGTTGGTTGATATAATGGCCTATATCAACCAATTAGGAACTACTCGTAAGTGCTACAGAATATTTGTTCTTATGACAACATTCTGAGAATATAACTCTTATAGTTATATTCTATTAACAATTTCTTATAAATTGTTATGCAACGATTCACCCCGTTACACCCCCCCCCTTAACCATCAGTCACTTTAGTGACTGATTCACTGAATGGATACTCGTCCCAAATCATTTGGGACAGGGTTTGCACTTGTTGGTCCGCGTCCACTTTCCAACATTTCATCGCATGGTAAACAAGCCCATGCGATGCGCGAACAAGGCCGCCGAGAGCGCGTCCGCACGTCTCTGTGCGGACGCCAAATCAGAAACAACAGCAACTGATGCCTCATAGGTTGCTGAAGCGACCCAGCCTGTGTCACTTGGTGATGCAGGCGCTGGTCATGAAGACACTCGTGTCTTCACAGAGTACGAGCTCGGTGTCTCGTACTCTCCTGATACGGATGACGGATCCGTATCGACGGCGATTGAATCTAAGCCGCCTGCCAAGCGTGGCATGGACGATGCTTTGCGTCGCAGCATCTTTGGTTCATCTGATGAATCAGATGAACCATCACCGAAGCGTAGGCACTCGAGGTCGCGAGACTCGGGCGCTAACAGTGGTGTCGGCTCTCCTATGGACACCACTACGCAACGAGGTGCCAGTACTTCTGTCGGCACATCACAAGAAGAGCGGGACCGCAATGTCTTGCGTCTCGCTCCTGAGAAGAAGGCATGGATGCCTCCCAAATCTGTCATGGATCACTTGTCGGCGACGACGAGTGATCGTTATCGAACACGATTGTTCGATTCGTCAAGGATCCATCACCTTGACCCCAGCGCGAAAAACTATCGCGCTGAACTTGAATTCTTCATCGATGCTTTCTTTAGACATCGATGGTACAGTGGGAATCACAAACGTGATGGTCCCTCACTACTTCAGGCGTGGAACGCCTACATCCATAACCTCGAGGATGTAGGTCGTGACGCTTGGAACGACAAACTTATCAAAGCTCGTGATAAGTTTGAAAAGCGAACCCCGACAGGTGCACGCTACAAGCTGCATCGTCTGTCAAGGGAGAAAGGATTACCCTGCCTCTCTTGGGGAGACTCGTGCCCATGTTGTGTGAACAACTCTGCACGAGCACCTAAGGAGGCTTACCTCCTTACCAGCCCGTGGTGGCGCGTACGTGTCTCTACTGAGATGTACGAAGGGATTGACAACCTGAAATCCTTTTACGACCGTGCCGGGAAGACTTTCTCCGGCGGTCCTTCTGCGGCACAGGATGTGCCGCGTCGTACTGCTCAACCAGACCCAGTACGTCGATCATCAGTTGGGAGCGGGGCTCCCAAGAATCCCAGGACGGGGGATAGCCGCGCCACCGGACGAGATAACTCGTCCGACGTCCGTTCACGTCGCGGTGGTTCAACAGCTGCTCAACTAGATAGCGCTGGCCACCGCGAGAGTCCTCTAATGGAGGTGGAGGAGGAGGAAAGACGCTCTCCACGCGATCATGTGGATCGGTGTGTTCCCGAGAGCTTCTTTGATCGCGTAACGCAAGGGTTACGCGACGATCTCGAACATGAGCGGAATAGGCGTCTCCAGATGGCGGACACTGCCTCGAAGCATCGAGCTGAGTTTGCCTTTGCTCAGCTCGAGAACGAGAGATCTCTGACATCTCTTCGTGACGAGCTAAGGGTAGCTCGTGGGATTGTTGATCGGTCTCGGGATGAGACAGCTGCTCTTCAGACCCTTGTTGATGCCCACCATCGGGAGCACAAGGCTCTCTGCGAGATGCTTGAGCGCAAGGGCGTTCTTCATCGGAAGAAGCAGCGTACTGATGGTACGGCTTAAGCCGACCAACGTAAAACGTGGGATGCGTTCGCATCTTACGTGGTAACTCGATCGTGTATGCATTGCCTAGGCGGTGCAATACACGAAAAGGGCCGATGTACTTGGGTAGTAGTTTACTGCTACCCAAGTTAGTCACTACATGCTTTGGTAGATTAACCGTAGACAGTAGGACTAAGTCACCTTTATTAAATAAAAGAGTGTTTGCCCTTCCATTCTTGTCAGCGTTTTGCTTTTGCTTATCCACCGCTTTGGCGATGGAGTCTTGCACAAAGCGGACTACCGTTTCACGAGCCAGTATGAACTCATCTGATGACTCGTTAGCTTCAGTGTGCTGTGAGCGCACTGCAGCAACATCAATCTTTTCTTCAGTGAGGGCTTCCGCACTCTCACTGGGATCATCTTCTTCAGTGAGGGCTTCCGCACTCTCACTGGCATCATCTTCTTCGATATCGATGTTGTCGATATCGGCATCAAACGCAATGACCTCTTCGTCAGAGCGTGATGAGCGTGAACCAAATCGCTTTTTGCTCGCGCGAGTCCCTCCCCCCCTTAAACCAGAGTTACACTCTAGTAAGGTGGGTACACGCGGATGGCGCAAGCCATTCACGTAAAACGGTGTATGTGTCGTGGACGCATGTACCGAGTTGTTAATGGCAAACTCTACCATTGGCAAGAACTCACTCCAACTCTTAAAGGAGTGTACGTATCCTCGAAGTATCTCTTCAAGGACACGATTGGCACGTTCCGTCTGACCATCTGACTCTGGATGATCAGATGTAGACATCTTCAAGCGCGTTCCGAGTGATTTGAACACGGAACGCCAGAAATCAGCTGTGAAGCGTGGATCTCTGTCTGATACGAGTTCACGGGGCAACCCATGAAGTCGGAAGATGGTGTCAATAAAGACACAAGCACAACCACTTGCCGTGATTGACTCTGGTACAGCCACAAGGTGTACCATTTTGCTGAATCTGTCAACGAATACGAGAATACCCGTATTCCCGTGTGCGTCTTTGGGTAACCCGAAGACAAAATCCATTGAGATGGATTCCCAGCACTCAGCCGGGACCGGTAGAGGCAGTAAAGGTGCACGCAGTGAAGGACTTGACTTCACTCGTTGGCAGACTTCGCATGCGCGAACATACTTGCGCACAAACTGATACTGGCGGGGCCAGTAAAAGTCTCGACTTACCGTGAGATATGTTTTCTCTCGGCCACGATGTCCTCCAATAGGTGCATCGTGATACTCGAACATGATCCGCAAACGCAGATCAGTATCATCTGGAATGACAACACGTGGTGTGTCACCAGAAACGGCAGCATAATACAGTAAACCATTGCGAGTAGTGTATCGATCTGATGCAGATCGATACGCAGACGACAATCGTTTCAACGATTCTCGAGATGGTTGGGAGAGATGTGACAACAACTTCACTATCTCACCATCTTGGGCGTATAACCGCCTCACATCATCATATAACGTTGAAGATGGCATGGTGGACGTCATAACCGCAACAGTGGCTGTCTCACTGTTGGGTTTCACGACTGGTTCAAAGTCGGGACGACGTGAGAGTGCATCAGCGACGACATTAAGTCGTCCTGGTTTGTACTCGACCGTAAAGTTGTATTCCGCAAAGAATGACAACCACCGCGCCATTCGTTGTGAAAGGTGCGGGCTGTTCACTACCGTGCGTAATGACGCATGGTCAGTGTAAACAATGAAGGGTCTATCTCCTAATAGATAGACTCTGAGCTTCGCGAGTGCATAGTTCAAGGCAAGTAGTTCCTTGTCATGCACTGGATAGTTCCGCTCAGCTGGTTGCAGCTGACGCGACTGATAGCAGACGACGCGGTCAACGCCTTCAAGATCGTACTGCATTAATGCACAGCCGATTGCGAAATTGCTGGCATCACAGACCACATGAAATGGCCTGTCCTGATCGGCAATTGCGAGAACTGGGGATTTCGTCAAGCTCTGCTTGATACCATCAAAGAAGCGCTGGCATTCTGCGTTCCATAACCACCTCTCGTTCTTTTTCAACAAACGAGAGAGGTGTACAGTCATCTCGGCGTAATTGCTTGAATACTTATGCAAATACGTCGCTAGCCCAAGGAATTTTCGAAGACCTTTGACATCAACCGGCACAGGCCAGTCGGTGATCGCCTTGATCTTTTCGGGATCAGGACGTACACCGTTCTTACCAACGATGCACCCAAGAAGTGGTATTTCGCTTGCTGCAAATGTACACTTCTTGAGGTTTGCATACAATTGATGCTTTCGCATGATTGTAAGAACCTGTTAGACGTGGTACCTGTGAACATCAACGTCCAAATTTCCATCCATAACTCGACTATGGATCAATACGTCATCGAAATAACTCGGCGCGAATTCTCGTGCTGGTCTCAACAGATGTGTATCACATCTGTTTAACGTGGCAGGGGCATTACTAAGCCCTTGTGGCATTACTAGCCATTCCCAGAGCATGCCGCTAGGCGTGCTAACTGCGGTATAGGGTATATCCCGTTCCCGCATAAGGATTTGATAGAAGCCATCCATCAAATCCATGGACGAAAATATGGTACTCTTTGACATACCATCAATGATTACGTCCTTCCTTGGTATCGGCGTCTGAGACGGTACCGTTGCAGCATTCAACTTGTTAAATGCATGCACAATCCACCACCCTCCTGTTGCTTTTCGCACACAGAATGTCGGAGAGCTATGTGGGGAAGTTGATTCCCTCATATGGCCCGCAGCTAAACGATCGGCAAAGAACTTGTCGATCACAAATACTTGTTCACGAGGCAGTGGCCACTGCTTCATGACACAGTACTTCGAGCCTGGTTTAAGCTCGACCTCGTGTCGAATACCTTTATCCTTCGGTAATTCGCACGGAACAGTTTCAGAGAATACATCCTTGAATTCAACAAAATTTTCGTAGAGAGAATTTGTCTTGAGCGATTCCCACGATTGGGAGTCATATCGCTCAACTCGTGTCTTTTCATCGAGGACACTCTCGTCCATAGATGAACTACTGAGAACTCTCTCGTTCTCAGTAAACACTGTTGCTGACCTTATGTCGGTTACACACTCGTCTTCAGCGACGAGTACGAAGATCTGCTTGACTTTGCCACTACGCAGATCACGCAAGAACCTTTTATGTTCGAGCGTTGGCAACTGAGTGATCTCCGAAGTCAACTTCGGAGGCGCAATCAGATTAAGTGTATAAGCGCCTACACCTGATCCGTTATTGACTATGACTTCAATGTCTCTGTCATTTCCTGGGGACTTGTTCCCTCAGGCCTCGAAGGACTTACTCCTTCGGCTTCCCGGGGACTTACTTCATCGGGTTTCGGGGAACTTATTTCCGCCGTATTTGTAATCTTGGGACTTATTCCCTTTACTTCCTCTAGCTGGGGTTGCGCAACCACAGCGAGATCCTCTACGAAAGACTCTCCAGTCGATCTAGGATTGTTGTTTCGCTTAACTTGAGCGATCGATCGTTTCTCTTCTAGATGTTAACCGCTAGGGATACATCTTTGTCCCGGTCCACTCGACTTATTCGAGTGGTGGACCTTCGGTGCAGCTTGTGTTCCCTCACAGCCGCCGGAACTTTGCTCCGAAGTGTAACTGTTTGTTACACTAAGGTTTTGTGCAGTCATACTAACGACCGTACCACAAGTGAGGCCATCGCACTCACTCGTAGTACATCCACACGCTTGTGGACGCTCCAAAACGTTCATCAGATGGCCATCTGATGAACAAGCGGCAGGCATCGTTACTGTCCGATGTTGCCAGTTTACTCGTGGTTCGTACCTTCTGAGCCACGGTATTCCAAGGATGACATCAAATTTGTCATCTAAATCCAATACGATAAAGTCATCGTCATATTGGGTATCTTCTAGGGTATAGTGGATCTTCACTATACGCTTCATGACGGTTACGGATGCGCCTGTCGCAAGACGTACCGTCATCCTCGTAGGAGGTGTGTCACATTCACTGAATTTAAAGTGACCATCTTCTAGCGATTGGCGTCGCACAATATTGTTGGACGCCCCACAATCGACTAGAGCTCGAAGGGACAACTTATTGGCCACTTCGAGTTTCAAGGTAATGAGTGAGACCTCATTGCCTAGAGCAGCAACGCACAACGTCTGTGTGTTGGGAGCAACCTCCCCTAAGAGGCCTAAAAATTCTCTTGACGTTGCTGGATCAGTAGGGTGCTCCGCACCTACTGATCCTGTCCGTTTTTTGGCGGTCCATCCCGCTGTTGCGTCTTTGCACCAACTGCGGACCCTCGTCCCTGCCCCTTTCTCATGGGTGGACGGTCACTACGCCCAGTATCGCGAGACACTGGACGAGGGGCACTACACTCGTAAGCGTAGTGTCCTGTCTTTTGACATCTGTTGCATCTCTGCAACTTCTTGTAGCCTGTAGAGCGAGCCTTCTCGCTCTCTACATAACAGAGTTCCATCGGCTCTGGACCTCCGCTGTCATATCGTCTCGGTTGACGATATGATGTCGAGCTGGCGCGAGCCTGTCTCAGACTGAAGTCTTCCTGCTCCGCAATGGAAATGGATTGTTCTAGTGAATCTAGTTCAAGCCGGAACAGGTGAGTCTTGACGGGACCATCCGCAAGACCCTGCATGAACACCGAAACCAACGTGTGTTCATCCACCGGATTGGAACTTATACAATTTGTGAGATGTCGTATATGTTGCGCGTAAGTGTGCACATCACGCTTACCCTGCTTGAGCTTCAAGAGTTCGGTTAAAGCTCTGAACTCAGCTCTAGGCGGTTCAAACGTTTTTCTGAGCCGCGACTTGAAGACTTCCAACGACCCAAACGCATATGGGTCGTGCAACTTGAGCCCCAGTGCCCAAGTCTTGGCACGTCCTGCCAGATTTGACTGGGCAAATGCAACTTGCATATCCCCGTCGTCGATGCGACGCGCCCTTATGGCGTCATCCGATTCGACGAACCATCTCAAGAGGGAGTCCTCTTCGACTCCCCTTTACTTGGAGATGTCAATCTTCAAGGTTTCGGGTCGACGCGAGTGCATCGACCCACCAGCAGCAGCCTGCTGCTGTCTCAACAGTTCAAACTGTTGAGCACCCTGTTCTCTCAACAACTCTGCTTGTTGAGAACCTTGTTGGTGAAGCAAGGCTACTTTCTCGCGTTCGGCGTCAAGTTCATTTTGAATGAACTTGGCGATAGTAGCATGTTGGGCATCTCTATTGAGAGCCTCTAGCATGACGCTAACAGCATGGATGCCCATGGTTGAACCCATTCGTTCAACCGCATCCCATTCGACATCGCTCAAATGGGAGTAGCCGTCACGCGTAGCGTGAAAGCTTTGGTCATCTTCATCATCCAACAAATTCATGTTGGATGTGAACGCGATCCTTGGACGGACTACAAAGTGCTACCAGGTGTAACGGGGCACCCTGAAGCTTGTACTGGTGACAGTACAAGCTACTTATTCTGATGACAGAATAAGGCGGTGCCTCGGAACTTCACGTACACTCGTACGTGCAGAGGAAGACGGTAAGAAGAAGCGAGTACTTGGTTAAAGTAAAAAGTTGAACTGTATTTATAATAGTTAATGTCTGCAATAAATCACTACTTATCTTCATCTAACTATGTCTAAATACAAATGTGTAAATCAACTATCTGCTCACCACTCACTGCGTACGTCTGTCGTGGCGTGTCTTCGTTTGTTGATATAATGACCTATATCAACCAATTAGGAACTACTCGTAAGTGCTACAGAATATTTGTTCTTATGACAACATTCTGAGAATATAACTCTTATAGTTATATTCTATTAACAATTTCTTATAAATTGTTATGCAACGATTCACCCCGTTACACCCCCCCCTTAACCATCAGTCACTTTAGTGACTGATTCACTAAATGGATACTCGTCCCAAATCATTTGGGACAGGGTTTGCACTTGTTGGTCTGAGTCCACTTCCCAACATTTCATCGCATGGTTAACAAGCCCATGCGATGCGCGAGCAAGGCCGCCGAGAGCTCGTCTGCACGTCTCTGTGCGGACGCCAAATCAGAAACAACAGCAACTGATGTCTCATCGGTTGCTGAAGCGACCCAGCCTGTGTCACTTGGTGATGCAGGCGCTGGTCATGAAGACACTCGTGTCTTCACAGAGTATGAGCTCGGTGTCTCGTACTCTCCTGATACGGATGACGGATCCGTATCGACGGCGATTGAATCTAAGCCGCCTGCCAAGCGTGGCATGGACGATGCTTTGCGTCGCAGCATCTTTGGTTCATCTGATGAGTCAGATGAACCATCACCGAAGCGTAGGCACTCGAGGTCGCGAGACTCGGGCGCTAACAGTGGTGTCGGTTCTCCTATGGACACCACTACGCAACGAGGTGCCAGTACTTCTGTCGGCACATCACAAGAAGAGCGGGACCGCAATGTCTTGCGTCTCGCTCCTGAGAAGAAGGCATGGATGCCTCCCAAATCTGTCATGGATCACTTGTCGGCGACGACGAGTGATCGTTATCGAACACGATTGTTCGATTCGTCAAGGATCCATCACCTTGACCCCAGCGCGAAAAACTATCGCGCTGAACATGAATTCTTCATCGATGCTTTCTTTAGACATCGATGGTACAGTGGGAATCACAAGCGTGATGGTCCCTCACTGCTTCAGGCGTGGAGCGCCTACATCCATAACCTCGAGGATGTAGGTCGTGACGCTTGGAACGACAAACTTATCAAAGCTCGTGATAAGTTTGAAAAGCGAACCCCGACAGGTGCACGCTACAAGCTGCATCGTCTGTCAAGGGAGAAAGGATTACCCTGCCTCTCATGGGGAGACTCGTGCCCGTGATGTGTGAACAACTTTGCACGAGCACCTAAGGGGGCTTACCTCCCTAATAGCCCGTGGTGGCGCGTACGTATCTCTACTGAGATGTACGAAGGGGATTGACAACCTGAAATCCTTTTACGACCGTGCCGGGAAGACTTTCTCCGGCGGTCCTTCTGCGGAACAGGATGTGCCGCGTCGTACTGCTCAACCAGACCCAGTACGTCGATCATCAGTTGGGAGCGGGGCTCCCAAGAATCCCAGGACGGGGGATAGCCGCGCCACCGGACGAGATAACTCGTCCGACGTCCGTTCACGTCGCGGTGGTTCAACAGCTGCTCAACTAGATAGCGCTGGCCACCGCGAGAGTCCTCTAATGGAGGTGGAGGAGGAGGAAAGACGCTCTCCACGCGATCATGTGGATCGGTGTGTTCCCGAGAGCTTCTTTGATCGCGTAACGCAAGGGTTACGCGACGATCTCGAACATGAGCGGAATAGGCGTCTCCAGATGGCGGACACTGCCTCGAAGCATCGAGCTGAGTTTGCCTTTGCTCAGCTCGAGAACGAGAGATCTCTGACATCTCTTCGTGACGAGCTAAGGGTAGCTCGTGGGATTGTTGATCGGTCTCGGGATGAGATAGCTGCTCTTTAGACCCTTGTTGATGCCCACCATCGGGAGTACAAGGCTCTCTGCGAGATGCTTGAGCGCAAGGGCGTTCTTCATCGGAAGAAGCAGCGTACTGATGGTACGGTTTAAGCCGACCAACGTAAAACGTGGGATGCGTTCGCATCTTACGTGGTAACTCGATCGTGTATGCATTGCCTAGGCGGTGCAATACACGAAAAGGGCCGATGTACTTGGGTAGTAGTTTACTGCTACCCAAGTTAGTCACTACATGCTTTGGTAGATTAACCGTAGACAGTAGGACTAAGTCACCTATATTAAATAAAAGAGTGTTTGCCCTTCCATTCTTGTCAGCGTTTTGCTTTTGCTTATCCACCGCTTTGGCGATGGAGTCTTGCACAAAACGGACTACCGTTTCACGAGCCAGCATGAACTCATCTGATGACTCGTTAGCTTCAGTGTGCTGTGAGTGCACTGCTGCAACATCAATATTTTCTTCAGTGAGGGCTTCCGCACTCTCACTGGCATCATCTTCTTCGATATCGATGTTAGTGATATCGGCATCAAACGCAATGACCTCTTCGTCAGAGCGTGATGAGCGTGAACCAAATCGCTTTTTGCTCGCGCGAGTCCCCCCCCCTTAAACCAGAGTTACACTCTAGTAAGGTGGGTACACGCGGATGGCGCAAGCCATTCACGTAAACCATTGTATGTGTCGTGGACGCATGCACCGAGTTGTTAATGGCAAACTCTACCATTGGCAAAAACTTACTCCAACTCTTAAAGGAGTGTACGTATCCTCGAAGTATCTCTTCAAGGACACGATTGGAACGTTCCGTCTGACCATCTGACTCTGGATGATCAGATGTAGACATCTTCAAGCGCGTTCCGAGTGATTTGAACACGGAACGCCAGAAATCAGCAGTGAATGTGGATCTCTGTCTGATACGAGTTCACGGGCAACCCATGAAGTCGGAAGATGGTGTCAATAAAGACACAAGCACAGCCACTTGCCGTGATTGTCTCTGTACAGCCACAAGGTGTACCATTTTGCTGAATCTGTCAACAAATACGAGAGTACCCGTATTCCCGCGTGCGTCTTTGGGTGACCCGAGGACGAAATCCATTGAGATGGATTCCCAGCACTCAGCCGGAACCGGTAGAGGTTGTAAAGGTGCACGCAGTGAAGGACTTGACTTCACTCGTTGACAGACTTCGCATGCGCGAACATACTTGCGCACAAACTGATACTGGCGGGGCCAGTAAAAGTCTCGACTCACCGTGAGACATGTTTTCTCTCGGCCACGATGTCCTCCTATAGGAGCATCGTGATACTCGAACATGACCCGCAAATGCAGATCAGTATTATCTGGAATGACAACACGTGGTGTGTCACCAGAAACGGCTGTATAATACAGTAAACCGTTACATGTAGTGTATCGATCTGATGCAGATCGATACGCAGACGACAATCGTTTCAACGATTCTCGAGATGGTTGGGAGAGATGTGTCAACAACTTCACTATCTCACCATCTTGGGCGTATGCCCGCCTCACATCATCATACAACGTTGTAGATGGGACTGAGGACGTCATAACCGCAACAGTGACTGTCTCACTGTTGGGTTTCGCGACTGTTTCAAAGTCGGGACGACGTGAGAGTGCATCAGCAACGACATTAAGTCGTCCTGGTTTGTACTCGACCGTAAAGTTGTATTCCGCAAAGAATGACAACCACCGCGCCATTCGTTGTGAAAGGTGCGGGCTGTTCACTGCCGTGCGTAATGACGCATGGTCAGTGTAAACAACGAAGGGTCTATCTCCTAATAGATAGACCCTGAACTTCGCAAGTGCATACTTCATGGCAAGGCGTTCCTTGTCATGCACATGATAGTTCCGCTCAGCTGGTTGCAGCTGACGCGACTGATAGCAGACGACGCGTTCAACGCCTTCTAGGTCGTACTGCATTAATGCACAGCCGATTGCGAAATCGCTGGCATCACAGACCACATGAAATGGCCTGTCCTGATCGGCTATTGCTAGGACTGGGGATTGTATCAAGCTCTGCTTGATACCCTCAAAGGAGCGCTGACATTCAGCGTTCCATAACCACCTCTCGTTCTTTTTCAACAAACGAGAGAGGTGCACAGTCATCTCGGCGTAATTGCGTGAATACTTATGCAAATACGCCGCTAGCCCAAGGAATTTTCGAAGACCTTTGACATCAACCGGCACAGGCCAGTCGGTGAACGCCTTGATCTTTTCGGGATCAGGACGAACACCGTTCTTACCAACGATGCACCCAAGAAGTGGTATTTCGCTTGCTGCGAATATACACTTCTTGAGGTTCGCATACAATTGATGCTTTCGCATGATTGTAAGAACTTGTCGGACGTGGTACCTGTGAACCTCAACGTCCGACTTTCCATCCATAGCTCGACTATGGATGAATACGTCATCGAAATAACTTGGTGCGAATTCTCGTACTGGTCTCAACAGATGTGATACACACCTGTTGAACGTGGCAGGGGCATTACTAAGCCCTTGTGGCATTACTAGCCATTCTCAGAGCATGCCGCTAGACGTGCTAACTGCGTATAGGGTATATCCCGTTCTCGCATAAGGATTTGATAGAAGCCATCCATCAAATCCATGGACGAAAAGATGGTACTCTTTGACATACCATCAATGATTACGTCCTTCCTCGGTATCGGCGTCTGAGCCGGTACCGTTGCAGCGTTCAATTTGTTGAACGCGCGCACTATCCGCCACCCTTCTGTTTCTTTTCGCACACAGAAGATCGGAGAGCTATGTGGGGAAGTTGATTCCCTCACATGGCCCGCAGCTAAACGATCGGCAAAGAACTTGTCGATCGCAAGTACTTGTTCACGAGGCAGTGGCCACTGCTTCATGACACAGTACTTCGAGCCTGGATTAAGCTCGACCTCGTGTCGAATACCTTTATCCTTCGGTAATTCGCACGGAACAGTTTCAAGGAATACATCCTTGAATTCAACCAAATCTTCGTAGAAAGGATTTGTCTTGAGCGATTCCCACGATTGGGAGTCATATCGCTCAATTCGTGTCTTTTCATCTAGGACACTCTCGTCCATAGATGAACTACTGAGAACTCTCTCGGTCTCAGTGAACACTGTTGCTGACCTTATGTCGGTTACACACTCATCATCAGCGACGAGTACGCAGATCTGCTTGACTTTGCCACTACGCAGATCACGCAAGAGCCTTTTATGTTCGAGCGTTGGCAACTGAGTGATCTCCGAAGTCAACTTCGGAGGCGCAATCAGATCAAGTGTATAAGCGCCTACACTTGATCCGTTATTGACTATGACATTCAATGTCTCTGTCATTTCCTGGGGACTTATTCCCTCAGGCTTCGAAGGACTTATTCCTTCGTCTTCCCGGGGACTTATTCCCGCGGGTTTCGGGGAACTTATTTCCGCCGTATTTGTAATCTTGGGACTTATTCCCTTAACTTCCTCTAGCTGGGGTTGCGCAACCACAGCGAGATCCTCTACAAAAGACTCTCCAGTCGATCTAGGATTGTTGTTTCGCTTAACTTGAGCGATCGATCGTTTCTCTTCTAGATGTTAACCGCTAGGGATACATCTTTGTCCCGGTCCACTCGACTTATTCGAGTGGTGGACCTTCGGCGCAGCCTGTGTTTCCTCACAGCCGCCGGAACTTTGCTCCGAAGTGTAACCGTTTGGTACACTAAGGTTTTGTGCAGTCGTACTAACGACCGTACCACAAGTGAGGCCATCGCACTCACTTCGTAGTACATCCACACGCTTGTGGGCGCTCCAAAACGTTCATCAGATGGCCATCTGATGAACAAGAGGCAGGCATCATTACTGTTCGATGTTGCCAGTTTACTCGTGGTTCGTACCTTCTGAGCCACGGTATTCCAAGGATGACATCAAATTTGTCATCCAAATCCAATACGATAAAGTCATCGTCATATTGGGTATCTTCTAGCGTATAGTGGATCTTCACTATACGCTTCATGACGGTTACGGATGCGCCTGTCGCAAGACGTACCGTCATCCTCGTAGGAGGTGTGTCACATTCACTGAATTTAAAGTGACCATCTTTTAGCGATTGGCGTCGCACAATATTGTTGGACGCCCCACAATCGACTAGAGCTCGAAGGGACAACTTATTGGCCACTTCGAGTTTCAAGGTAATGAGTGAGACCTCATTACCTAGAGCAGCAACGCACAACGTCTGTGTGTTGCGAGCAACCTCCCCTAAGAGGCCTACAAATTCTCTTGACGTTGCTGGATCAGTAGGGTGCTCCGCACCTACTGATCCTGTCCGTTTTTTGGCGGTCCATCCCGCTGTTGCGTCTTTGCACCAACTGCGGACCCTCGTCCCTGCCCCTTTCTCATGGGTGGACGGTCACTACGCCCAGTATCGCGAGACACTGGACGAGGGGCACTACACTCGTAAGCGTAGTGTCCTGTCTTTTGACATCTGTTGCATCTCTGCAACTTCTTGTAGCCTGTAGAGCGAGCCTTCTCGCTCTCTACATAACAGAGTTCTATCGGCTCTGGACCTCCGCTGTCATATCGTCTCGGTTGACGATATGATGTCGAGCTGGCACGAGCCTGTCTCAGACTGAAGTCTTCCTGCTCCGCAATGGAAATGGATTGTTCTAGTGAATCTAGTTCAAGCCGGAACAGGTGAGTCTTGACGGGACCATCCGCAAGACCCTGCATGAACACCGAAACCAACGTGTGTTCATCCACCGGATTGGAACTTATACAATTTGTGAGATGTCGTATATGTTGCGCGTAAGTGTGCACATCACGCTTACCCTGCTTGAGCTTCAAGAGTTCGGTTCAAGCTCTGAGCTCAGCTCTAGGCGGTTCAAACGTTTTTCTGAGCCGCGACTTGAAGACTTCCAACGACCCAAACGCATATGGGTCGTGCAGCTTGAGCCCCAGTGCCCAAGTCTTGGCACGTCCTGCCAGATTTGATTGGGCAAATGCAACTTGCATATCCCCGTCGTCGATGCGACGCGCCCTTATGGCGTCATCCGATTCGACGAACCATCTCAAGAGGGAGTCCTCTTCGACTCCCCTTTACTTGGAGATGTCAATCTTCAAGGTTTCGGGTCGACGCGAGTGCATCGACCCACCAGCAGCAGCCTGCTGCTGTCTCAACAGTTCAAACTGTTGAGCACCCTGTTCTCTCAACAACTCTGCTTGTTGAGAACCTTGTTGGTGAAGCAAGGCTACTTTCTCGCGTTCGGCGTCAAGTTCATTTTGAATGAACTTGGCGATAGTAGCATGTTGGGCATCTCTATTGAGAGCCTCTAGCATGACGCTAACAGCATGGATGCCCATGGTTGAACCCATTCGTTCAACCGCATCCCATTCGACATCGCTCAAATGGGAGTAGCCGTCACGCGTAGCGTGAAAGCTTTGGTCATCTTCATCATCCAACAAATTCATGTTGGATGTGAACGCGATCCTTGGACGGACTACAAAGTGCTACCAGGTGTAACGGGGCACCCTGAAGCTTGTACTGGTGACAGTACAAGCTACTTATTCTGATGACAGAATAAGGCGGTACCTCGGAACTTCACGTACACTCGTACGTGCAGAGGAAGACGGTAAGAAGAAGCGAGTACTTGGTTAAAGTAAAAAGTTGAACTGTATTTATAATAGTTAATGTCTGCAATAAATCACTACTTATCTTCATCTAACTATGTCTAAATACAAATGTGTAAATCAACTATCTGCTCACCACTCACTGCGTACGTCTGTCGTGGCGTGTCTTCGTTTGTTGATATAATGACCTATATCAACCAATTAGGAACTACTCGTAAGTGCTACAGAATATTTGTTCTTATGACAACATTCTGAGAATATAACTCTTATAGTTATATTCTATTAACAATTTCTTATAAATTGTTATGCAACGATTCACCCCGTTACACCCCCCCCTTAACCATCAGTCACTTTAGTGACTGATTCACTAAATGGATACTCGTCCCAAATCATTTGGGACAGGGTTTGCACTTGTTGGTCTGAGTCCACTTCCCAACATTTCATCGCATGGTTAACAAGCCCATGCGATGCGCGAGCAAGGCCGCCGAGAGCTCGTCTGCACGTCTCTGTGCGGACGCCAAATCAGAAACAACAGCAACTGATGTCTCATCGGTTGCTGAAGCGACCCAGCCTGTGTCACTTGGTGATGCAGGCGCTGGTCATGAAGACACTCGTGTCTTCACAGAGTACGAGCTCGGTGTCTCGTACTCTCCTGATACGGATGACGGATCCGTATCGACGGCGATTGAATCTAAGCCGCCTGCCAAGCGTGGCATGGACGATGCTTTGCGTCGCAGCATCTTTGGTTCATCTGATGAATCAGATGAACCATCACCGAAGCGTAGGCACTCGAGGTCGCGAGACTCGGGCGCTAACAGTGGTGTCGGTTCTCCTATGGACACCACTACGCAACGAGGTGCCAGTACTTCTGTCGGCACATCACAAGAAGAGCGGGACCGCAATGTCTTGCGTCTCGCTCCTGAGAAGAAGGCATGGATGCCTCCCAAATCTGTCATGGATCACTTGTCGGCGACGACGAGTGATCGTTATCGAACACGATTGTTCGATTCGTCAAGGATCCATCACCTTGACCCCAGCGCGAAAAACTATCGCGCTGAACATGAATTCTTCATCGATGCTTTCTTTAGACATCGATGGTACAGTGGGAATCACAAACGTGATGGTCCCTCACTGCTTCAGGCGTGGAGCGCCTACATCCATAACCTCGAGGATGTAGGTCGTGACGCTTGGAACGACAAACTTATCAAAGCTCGTGATAAGTTTGAAAAGCGAACCCCGACAGGTGCACGCTACAAGCTGCATCGTCTGTCAAGGGAGAAAGGATTACCCTGCCTCTCATGGGGAGACTCGTGCCCGTGATGTGTGAACAACTTTGCACGAGCACCTAAGGAGGCTTACCTCCCTAATAGCCCGTGGTGGCGCGTACGTATCTCTACTGAGATGTACGAAGGGGATTGACAACCTGAAATCCTTTTACGACCGTGCCGGGAAGACTTTCTCCGGCGGTCCTTCTGCGGAATAGGATGTGCCGCGTCGTACTGCTCAGCCAGACCCAGTACGTCGATCATCAGTTGGGAGCGGGGCTCCCAAGAATCCCAGGACGGGGGATAGCCGCGCCACCGGACGAGATTACTCGTCCGACGTCCGTTCACGTCGCGGTGGTTCAACAGCTGCTCAACTAGATAGCGCTGGCCACCGCGAGAGTCCTCTAATGGAGGTGGAGGAGGAGGAAAGACGCTCTCCACGCGATCATGTGGATCGGTGTGTTCCCGAGAGCTTCTTTGATCGCGTAACGCAAGGGTTACGCGACGATCTCGAACATGAGCGGAATAGGCGTCTCCAGATGGCGGACACTGCCTCGAAGCATCGAGCTGAGTTTGCCTTTGCTCAGCTCGAGAACGAGAGATCTCTGACATCTCTTCGTGACGAGCTAAGGGTAGCTCGTGGGATTGTTGATCGGTCTCGGGATGAGATAGCTGCTCTTTAGACCCTTGTTGATGCCCACCATCGGGAGCACAAGGCTCTCTGCGAGATGCTTGAGCGCAAGGGCGTTCTTCATCGGAAGAAGCAGCGTACTGTTGGTACGGTTTAAGCCGACCAACGTAAAACGTGGGATGCGTTCGCATCTTACGTGGTAACTCGATCGTGTATGCATTGCCTAGGCGGTGCAATACACGAAAAGGGCCGATGTACTTGGGTAGTAGTTTACTGCTACCCAAGTTAGTCACTACATGCTTTGGTAGATTAACCGTAGACAGTAGGACTAAGTCACCTATATTAAATAAAAGAGTGTTTGCCCTTCCATTCTTGTCAGCGTTTTGCTTTTGCTTATCCACCGCTTTGGCGATGGAGTCTTGCACAAAACGGACTACCGTTTCACGAGCCAGCATGAACTCATCTGATGACTCGTTAGCTTCAGTGTGCTGTGAGTGCACTGCTGCAACATCAATATTTTCTTCAGTGAGGGCTTCCGCACTCTCACTGGCATCATCTTCTTCGATATCGATGTTAGTGATATCGGCATCAAACGCAATGACCTCTTCGTCAGAGCGTGATGAGCGTGAACCAAATCGCTTTTTGCTCGCGCGAGTCCCTCCCCCCCTTAAACCAGAGTTACACTCTAGTAAGGTGGGTACACGCGGATGGCGCAAGCCATTCACGTAAACCATTGTATGTGTCGTGGACGCATGCACCGAGTTGTTAATGGCAAACTCTACCATTGGCAAAAACTCACTCCAACTCTTAAAGGAGTGTACGTATCCTCGAAGTATCTCTTCAAGGACACGATTGGCACGTTCCGTCTGACCATCTGACTCTGGATGATCAGATGTAGACATCTTCAAGCGCGTTCCGAGTGATTTGAACACGGAACACCAGAAATCAGCAGTGAATGTGGATCTCTGTCTGATACGAGTTCACGGGCAACCCATGAAGTCGGAAGATGGTGTCAATAAAGACACAAGCACAGCCACTTGCCGTGATTGTCTCTGTACAGCCACAAGGTGTACCATTTTGCTGAATCTGTCAACAAATACGAGAATACCCGTATTCCCGCGTGCGTCTTTGGGTGACCCGAAGACGAAATCCATTGAGATGGATTCCCAGCACTCAGCCGGAACCGGTAGAGGCTGTAAAGGTGCACGCAGTGAAGGACTTGACTTCACTCGTTGACAGACTTCGCATGCGCGAACATACTTGCGCACAAACTGATACTGGCGGGGCCAGTAAAAGTCTCGACTCACCGTGAGACATGTTTTCTCTCGGCCACGATGTCCTCCTATAGGAGCATCGTGATACTCGAACATGACCCGCAAATGCAGATCAGTATTATCTGGAATGACAACACGTGGTGTGTCACCAGAAACGGCTGTATAATACAGTAAACCGTTACATGTAGTGTATCGATCTGATGCAGATCGATACGCAGACGACAATCGTTTCAACGATTCTCGAGATGGTTGGGAGAGATGTGTCAACAACTTCACTATCTCACCATCTTGGGCGTATGCCCGCCTCACATCATCATACAACGTTGTAGATGGGACTGAGGACGTCATAACCGCAACAGTGACTGTCTCACTGTTGGGTTTCGCGACTGTTTCAAAGTCGGGACGACGTGAGAGTGCATCAGCAACGACATTAAGTCGTCCTGGTTTGTACTCGACCGTAAAGTTGTATTCCGCAAAGAATGACAACCACCGCGCCATTCGTTGTGAAAGGTGCGGGCTGTTCACTGCCGTGCGTAATGACGCATGGTCAGTGTAAACAACGAAGGGTCTATCTCCTAATAGATAGACCCTGAACTTCGCAAGTGCATACTTCATGGCAAGGCGTTCCTTGTCATGCACAGGATAGTTCCGCTCAGCTGGTTGCAGCTGACGCGACTGATAGCAGACGACGCGTTCAACACCTTCTAGGTCGTACTGCATTAATGCACAGCCGATTGCGAAATCGCTGGCATCACAGACCACATGAAATGTCCTGTCCTGATCGGCTATTGCTAGGACTGGGGATTGTATCAAGCTCTGCTTGATACCCTCAAAGGAGCGCTGACATTCAGCGTTCCATAACCACCTCTCGTTCTTTTTCAACAAACGAGAGAGGTGCACAGTCATCTCGGCGTAATTGCGTGAATATTTATGCAAATACGCCGCTAGCCCAAGGAATTTTCGAAGACCTTTGACATCGACCGGCACAGGCCAGTCGGTGATCGCCTTGATCTTTTCGGGATCAGGACGTACACCGTTCTTACCAACGATGCACCCAAGAAGTGGTATTTCGCTTGCTGCAAATATACACTTCTTGAGGTTTGCATACAATTGATGCTTTCGCATGATTGTAAGAACTTGTCGGACGTGGTACCTGTGAACCTCAACGTCCGATTTTCCATCCATAGCTCGACTATGGATGAATACGTCATCGAAATAACTCGGCGCGAATTCTCATACTGGCCTCAACAGATGTGATACACACCTGTTGAACGTGGCAGGGGCATTACTGAGCCCTTGTGGCATTACTAGCCATTCTCAGAGCATGCCGCTAGACGTGCTAACTGCGTATAGGGTATATCCCGTTCTCGCATAAGGATTTGATAGAAGCCATCCATCAAATCCATGGACGAAAAGATGGTACTCTTTGACATACCATCAATGATTACGTCCTTCCTCGGTATCGGCGTCTGAGCCGGTACCGTTGCAGCGTTCAATTTGTTGAACGCGCGCACTATCCGCCACCCTTCTGTTGCTTTTCGCACACAGAAGATCGGAGAGCTATGTGGGGAAGTTGATTCCCTCACATGGCCCGCAGCTAAACGATCGGCAAAGAACTTGTCGATCGCAAGTACTTGTTCACGAGGCAGTGGCCACTGCTTCATGACACAGTACTTCGAGCCTGGATTAAGCTCGACCTCGTGTCGAATACCTTTATCCTTCGGTAATTCGCACGGAACAGTTTCAAGGAATACATCCTTGAATTCAACCAAATCTTCGTAGAAAGGATTTGTCTTGAGCGATTCCCACGATTGGGAGTCATATCGCTCAATTCGTGTCTTTTCATCTAGGACACTCTCGTCCATAGATGAACTACTGAGAACTCTCTCGGTCTCAGTGAACACTGTTGCTGACCTTATGTCGGTTACACACTCATCATCAGCGACGAGTACGCAGATCTGCTTGACTTTGCCACTACGCAGATCACGCAAGAGCCTTTTATGTTCGAGCGTTGGCAACTGAGTGATCTCCGAAGTCAACTTCGGAGGCGCAATCAGATCAAGTGTATAAGCGCCTACACTTGATCCGTTATTGACTATGACATTCAATGTCTCTGTCATTTCCTGGGGACTTATTCCCTCAGGCTTCGAAGGACTTATTCCTTCGTCTTCCCGGGGACTTATTCCCGCGGGTTTCGGGGAACTTATTTCCGCCGTATTTGTAATCTTGGGACTTATTCCCTTAACTTCCTCTAGCTGTGGTTGCGCAACCACAGCGAGATCCTCTACAAAAGACTCTCCAGTCGATCTAGGATTATCGTTTCGCTTAACCTGAGCGATCGATTGTTTCTCTTCTAGATGTTCCCCTCTAGGGATACATCTTTGTCCCGGTCCACTCGACTTATTCGAGTGGTGGACCTTCGGCGCAGCCTGTGTTTCCTCACAGCCGCCGGAACTTTGCTCCGAAGTGTAACCGTTTGGTACACTAAGGTTTTGTGCAGTCGTACTAACGACCGTACCACAAGTGAGGCCATCGCACTCACTTCGTAGTACATCCACACGCTTGTGGGCGCTCCAAAACGTTCATCAGATGGCCATCTGATGAACAAGAGGCAGGCATCATTACTGTTCGATGTTGCCAGTTTACTCGTGGTTCGTACCTTCTGAGCCACGGTATTCCAAGGATGACATCAAATTTGTCATCCAAATCCAATACGATAAAGTCATCGTCATATTGGGTATCTTCTAGCGTATAGTGGATCTTCACTATACGCTTCATGACGGTTACGGATGCGCCTGTCGCAAGACGTACCGTCATCCTCGTAGGAGGTGTGTCACATTCACTGAATTTAAAGTGACCATCTTTTAGCGATTGGCGTCGCACAATATTGTTGGACGCCCCACAATCGACTAGAGCTCGAAGGGACAACTTATTGGCCACTTCGAGTTTCAAGGTAATGAGTGAGACCTCATTACCTAGAGCAGCAACGCACAACGTCTGTGTGTTGCGAGCAACCTCCCCTAAGAGGCCTACAAATTCTCTTGACGTTGCTGGATCAGTAGGGTGCTCCGCACCTACTGATCCTGTCCGTTTTTTGGCGGTCCATCCCGCTGTTGCGTCTTTGCACCAACTGCGGACCCTCGTCCCTGCCCCTTTCTCATGGGTGGACGGTCACTACGCCCAGTATCGCGAGACACTGGACGAGGGGCACTACACTCGTAAGCGTAGTGTCCTGTCTTTTGACATCTGTTGCATCTCTGCAACTTCTTGTAGCCTGTAGAGCGAGCCTTCTCGCTCTCTACATAACAGAGTTCTATCGGCTCTGGACCTCCGCTGTCATATCGTCTCGGTTGACGATATGATGTCGAGCTGGCACGAGCCTGTCTCAGACTGAAGTCTTCCTGCTCCGCAATGGAAATGGATTGTTCTAGTGAATCTAGTTCAAGCCGGAACAGGTGAGTCTTGACGGGACCATCCGCAAGACCCTGCATGAACAACGAAACCAACGTGTGTTCATCCACCGGATTGGAACTTATACAATTTGTGAGATGTCGTATATGTTGCGCGTAAGTGTGCACATCACGCTTACCCTGCTTGAGCTTCAAGAGTTCGGTTCAAGCTCTGAGCTCAGCTCTAGGCGGTTCAAACGTTTTTCTGAGCCGCGACTTGAAGACTTCCAACGACCCAAACGCATATGGGTCGTGCAGCTTGAGCCCCAGTGCCCAAGTCTTGGCACGTCCTGCCAGATTTGATTGGGCAAATGCAACTTGCATATCCCCGTCGTCGATGCGACGCGCCCTTATGGCGTCATCCGATTCGACGAACCATCTCAAGAGGGAGTCCTCTTCGACTCCCCTTTACTTGGAGATGTCAATCTTCAAGGTTTCGGGTCGACGCGAGTGCATCGACCCACCAGCAGCAGCCTGCTGCTGTCTCAACAGTTCAAACTGTTGAGCACCCTGTTCTCTCAACAACTCTGCTTGTTGAGAACCTTGTTGGTGAAGCAAGGCTACTTTCTCGCGTTCGGCGTCAAGTTCATTTTGAATGAACTTGGCGATAGTAGCATGTTGGGCATCTCTATTGAGAGCCTCTAGCATGACGCTAACAGCATGGATGCCCATGGTTGAACCCATTCGTTCAACCGCATCCCATTCGACATCGCTCAAATGGGAGTAGCCGTCACGCGTAGCGTGAAAGCTTTGGTCATCTTCATCATCCAACAAATTCATGTTGGATGTGAACGCGATCCTTGGACGGACTACCAAGTGCTACCAGGTGTAACGGGGCACCCTGAAGCTTGTACTGGTGACAGTACAAGCTACTTATTCTGATGACAGAATAAGGCGGTGCCTCGTAACTTCACGTACACTCGTACTTGCAGAGGAAGACGGTAAGAAGAAGCGAGTACTTGGTTAGAGTAAAAAGTAGAACTGTGTTTAGTATAGTTAATGTCTGCAATAAATCACTGTTTATCTTCATCTAACTATGTCTAAATACAAATGTGTAAATCAACTATCTGCTCACCACTCACTGCGTGCGTCTGTCGTGGCGCGTCTTCGTTGGTTGTTATAATGGCCTATATCAACCAATTAGGAACTACTCTTAAGTGCTACAGAATATTTGTCTTTATGACAATATTCTGAGAATATAACTCTTATAGTTATATTCTATTAACAATTTCTTATAAATTGTTATGTAACGATTCACCCCGTTACATGGAGGCTGCACGCTGCAAAGCTTGCCGACGCACCAACGTCCACCATCAGGACTCTGCGATATAAACACTCTTGTCAAGGTGTGACTCACCTTGGCCTCCAGCAGACATCAGTTTCTTGGGTTGCGAGTGAAGTCGGGGCCCGGTTGCGTGACGACCCCCAGAACAGACCAAAGGAAATCATCCTAGACGTTCGTCGCGAGCATGGGGTCACGTTTTTATACAAGAAAGCTTGGCGAGGAAAAACGAGGATTATGGAAATTACTCATGACTCCTACGAACAAAAATCTCATTAAGCTTTCTAGCTTAGCGCAGGCATGTTTGTTTGACAAAACCAGGTGAGGGTCGTAAATGGCTGGTGCTCATTTTAATTGCCTACCTAAAAACCTCAGTATTCTGCTGATACAATAAATGCTGCAACAGGAAGCGTTGCGGCCGTGTACACGACTGGGCCCGAGCATCATTTTCGCCGCCTTTTTGTTGCCTACCGAGCGTGAATTGCAGGATTTTGATCTGGATGCCGTCCACTACTGGGCCTTGATAAAACCCACCTTAGATCAAAGTATTAGGGGACGCTCTAAACGGCTGTATACGGCTACGCCGTCGTCGATGCTGAAAACGACGAGAGATGTCTTTAATTGTTATCAGAACTACGGACGCTCCTGGAAGCAAACACGTTAAATCTGCAGTGAATGAATTTCCTTTCCGACCGTCAGAAAGAGCTGATCATCAAAATTTAGGATTTTTCCTAGTGCATGCCATGGCTTTTGCATGCGGCACCTCATCAAAAACTTTAGGAAGGTATTTATAATGTCTGATTGGTGAAGCTCTTGTGGCAGGTCACTTTTGCATTGGCTGACGTGGAATTTGACGTTAAGATGAGCGAGATTAAAGAAATTCTAATTGAAGCTAAAAAGAGTGGATTGTGGGCATAGCCAAAAATCTTTGGGCCAACAGCACGTTTGAGGGAAAAAGATTTGGACATCTTACCTCCAATATTGCGGAATCGCTTAACTTTGGATTCTGGAATCCCGTGAACTTCCAATCGTTATGATGATGCATAGGTAGGTTGCTGATGAAGTCTGCTGAATGAATATGAACTACACATTCTAACCGTTTTGGAAGATTCTTACGCTGTGGGAAAAGGATCCGCCAGCAGTTGATAATCTGGTTTGATGAGCGGCGACTGCAGGCAGCTGAATAACCCTCGCTACTTATTCCCTCAGTTGAGAAAAAGGTCAGCACTTCCATCGAGCGCGATAGTCACTACAGGGTTCTAAGTGCGGCTTATGGTGATGTCGGAGGATCGGAATTTGACTGTCATTATCAGGCAATATGAGTGCTCGTGCAAGCGGTGGCAGGTACAAGGTGAGCTCGCTCCAAAACAATCTGCAACGTATCCTTGATGACTCGTTCTAAAAACAGTATCACATCTTTGTCACCAGTTTTTTCTTGTCATAACGCAGCAGCTGCGTTACTATCGTGTCGAATGAATGTGTGACAGCATGCGAAAGAATGCTTTACAGTAGTTGCATACCGACGCACGTGCGCAGAAACGGTACACCCACTTGGCAATGAAAGCATTTAGGCTGACGTGATAGATAGGGACGGACAAGAAGTACGTGTATCCCCACCGCGTACGCGGCGCCCACCGAGAAGCCCAACAAAAGCGCGATCGTAGAGAGGATGAAGGCCTAAAAAGCATCCCGTGCATTGCGACAGATGCTTACAACCTGAGAATCATAGCTCTACTTGTCGTTAGTGCCTAAGACCACGCTTTGGAAAAAGATACTTGCCAGCATTTCATGCCTAGGCTATAGCCAGGGGCATTTTTGTCATTTATAAAAGTACAGGGGTATGTCACCTTTTTGGCATTTACCAGGGGTATTTTGGTACTTTCCATCAATTTATTTAAGTTCTAGTACCTCTGTAGCATAATTCCCTCGTTCTAGAACCGGTCCTGATTCTGGTATTAACATCTCCCAATATTGTGTGGATCAGAACAAAACTACATTATTTATCTGAAATAGCTAAATCCCCGCACCCGCGTATCGCGCAAATTGAACAGGACGACGGATATAATGGGGTTAAACGCAGTGATTGAACCGCTTATGTTGTGTGCCAACGCCAACTAAAGATCGGTGGATCTGAGTGGTACAGTCTTGGGACCACGTGCCTACGGTGATACCGCACCTGATCAGGCAGGGATAAGGGACAAGACTTCTGTCATAGGATCGCAATGTAGAAGTCAGTCAGACAAGGTTTTAGGTTTTGTTACCGTAGTTATAGAATGAATAAAGGTCGGTTCCCCTTTTGAATCGTTGGACACAAGTGCCTAGTCAAGGAATTTTGTGTTGTTTAGAGCATTAGCCTTGTAAAGGCGTTTACTCTTATTTAACTAGTATGTGACTAGTTAGTGTGTGATTCTGTGAATCGCAATCAGTTTGGAACCGAGAGTGTTAAGCGTGTACGCTTGAACGACTGCACGTCGTTGTTACTTTGTTATAGCTAAAATACTCTTTGGGTCCAAGAATCTCTCTGTTAATGAGCGCTAAGTAGCTCCGCTACACTTGGTAGCACTTGTAGTCAATCTACACCTGAGTCCTTACATACTGAATCCTCTGCGATGATGGAACCGGCCATGAACCTCTCTGAGGTCCAGAAGATCACGCTTGAGAATCTCAAGGCGTTGATCGTGCACGAGCAAGTGGATCTTATCGTGTCTCAAGGCCCGGACGCGCTTCGTGCACGTCTCGAGACCTTCTCGAATTTTGTGTCCACGTTGATCGGACAGGTCCACGACCATTTGGAATCTGCCATGCCCACTCGTTATGTTTCACTACCGGTAACTAAGTTAAGGACTCACCCTCTGGTCTTAAGTGTCAAGACTTTTAACTAAAAAGAGGGAGAATCTCCTTTTGCGGGCTCGAGAGATGTCGACCGCCATCAGCTCGACCTTGCGCGGTCAGAGCAGCAAGAGGTGGGCATTGCCCTATAGAAGTTAGGTGGGCGAGACTAAGAGCGGGCCTTCACTTCTGGTGTAACGGGGCACCCTGAAGCTTGTACTGGTGACAGTACAAGCTACTTATTCTGATAACAGAATAAGGCGGTGTCTCGTAACTTCACGTACACTCGTACGTGCAGAGGAAGACGGTAAGAAGAAGCGAGTACTTGGTTAGAGTAAAAAGTAGAACTGTATTTATAATAGTTAATGTCTGCAATAAATCACTATTTATCTTCATCTAACTATGTCTAAATACAAATGTGTAAATCAATTATCTGCTCACCACTCATTGCGTGCGTCTGTCGTGGCCCGTCTTCGTTGGTTGATATAATGGCCTATATCAACCAATTAGGAACTACTCGTAAGTGCTACAGAATATTTGTCCTTATGACAATATTCTGAGAATATAACTCTTATAGTTATATTCTATTAACAATTTCTTATAAATTGTTATGTAACGATTCACCCCGTTACATCACCCCCCCTTAACCATCAGTCACTTTAGTGACTGATTCACTGAATGGATACTCGTTCCAAATCATTTGGGACAGGGTTTGCACTTGTTGGTCTGAGTCCACTTCCCAACATTTCATCGCATGGTAAACAAGCCCATGCGATGCGCGAGCAAGGCCGCCGAGAGCGCGTCTGCACGTCTCTGTGCGGACGCCGAAGCAGAAACAACAGCAACTGATGTCCCATCGGTTGCTGAAGAGACCCAGCCTGTGTCACTTGGTGACGCAGGCGCTGGTCATGAAGACACTCGTGTCTTCACAGAGTACGAGCTCGGTGTCTCGTACTCTCCTGATACGGATGACGGATCCGTATCGACGGCGATTGAATCTAAGCCGCCTGCCAAGCGTGGCATGGACGATGCTTTGCGTCGCAGCATCTTTGGTTCATCTGATGAGTCAGATGAACCATCACCGAAGCGAAGGCGCTCGAGGTCGCGAGACTCGGGCGCTAATAGTGGTGTCGGTTCTCCTATGGACACCACTTCACAGCGAGGTGCCAGTACTTCTGTCGGCACGTCGCAGGAAGAGCGGTACCGCAATGTGTTGCGTCTCGCTCCAGAAAAGAAGGCATGGATGCCTCCAAAATCCGTCATGGATCACTTGTCGGCGACGACGAGTGATCGTTATCGAACACGATTGTTCGATTCGTCAAGGATCCATCACCTTGACCCCAGCGCGAAAGACTATCGCGCTGAACATGAGTTCTTCATCGATGCTTTCTTCAGACATCGATGGTACAGTGGGAATCACAAACGTGATGGTCCCTCACTACTTCAGGCGTGGAACGCCTACATCCATAACCTCGAGGATGTAGGTCGTGACGCTTGGAACGACAAACTTATCAAAGCTCGTGATAAGTTTGAAAAGCGAACCCCCACAGGTGCACGCTACAAGCTGCATCGTCTGTCAAGGGAGAAAGGATCACGCTGCCTCTCTTGGGGAGACTCGTGCCCATGTTGTGTGAACAACTCTGCACGAGCACCTAAGGGGGCTTACCTCCCTAATAGCCCGTGGTGGCGCGTACGTATCTCTACTGAGATGTACGAAGGGGATTGACAACCTGAAATCCTTTTACGACCGTGCCGGGAAGACTTTCTCCGGCGGTCCTTCTGCGGAACAGGATGTGCCGCGTCGTACTGCTCAACCAGACCCAGTACGTCGATCATCAGTTGGGAGCGGGGCTCCCAAGAATCCCAGGACGGGGGATAGCCGCGCCACCGGACGAGATAACTCGTCCGACGTCCGTTCACGTCGCGGTGGTTCAACAGCTGCTCAACTAGATAGCGCTGGCCACCGCGAGAGTCCTCTAATGGAGGTGGAGGAGGAGGAAAGACGCTCTCCACGCGATCATGTGGATCGGTGTGTTCCCGAGAGCTTCTTTGATCGCGTAACGCAAGGGTTACGCGACGATCTCGAACATGAGCGGAATAGGCGTCTCCAGATGGCGGACACTGCCTCGAAGCATCGAGCTGAGTTTGCCTTTGCTCAGCTCGAGAACGAGAGATCTCTGACATCTCTTCGTGACGAGCTAAGGGTAGCTCGTGGGATTGTTGATCGGTCTCGGAATCAGATAGCTGCTCTTCAGACCCTTGTTGATGCCCACCATCGGGAGCACAAGGCTCTCTGCGAGATGCTTGAGCGCAAGGGCGTTCTTCATCGGAAGAAGCAGCGTACTGATGGTACGGCTTAAGCCGACCAACGTAAAACGTGGGATGCGTTCGCATCTTACGTGGTAACTCGATCGTGTATGCATTGCCTAGGCGGTGCAATACACGAAATGGGCCAATGTACTTGGGTAGTAGTTTACTGCTACCCAAGTTAGTCACTACATGCTTTGGTAGATTAACCGTAGACAGTAGGACTAAGTCACCTTTATTAAATAAAAGAGTGTTTGCCCTTCCATTCTTGTCAGCGTTTTGCTTTTGATTATCCACCGCTTCGGCGATGGAGTCTTGCACAAAACGGACTACCGTTTCACGAGCCAGTATGAACTCATCTGATGACTCGTTAGCTTCAGTGTGCTGTGAGCGCACTGCAGCAACAACAACCTTTTCTTCAGTGAGGGCTTCCGCACTCTCACTGGGATCATTGTCTTCGATATCGATGTTATCGATATCGGCATCAAACGCAATGACTTCTTCGTCAGAGCGTGATGAGCGTGAACCAAATCGCTTTTTGCTCGCGCGAGTCCCTCCCCCCCTTAAAACAGAGTTACACTCTAGTAAGGTGGGTACACGCGGATGGCGTAAGCCATTCACGTAAACCATTGTATGTGTCGTGGACGCATGCACCGAGTTGTTGATGGCAAACTCTACCATTGGCAAAAACTCACTCCAACTCTTAAAGGAGTGTACGTATCCTCGAAGTATCTCTTCAAGGACACGATTGGCACGTTCCGTCTGACCATCTGACTCTGGATGATCAGATGTAGACATCTTCAAGCGCGTTCCGAGTGATTTGAACACGGAACGCCAGAAATCAGCAGTGAATGTGGATCTCTGTCTGATACGAGTTCACGGGCAACCCATGAAGTCGGAAGATGGTGTCAATAAAGACACAAGCACAGCCACTTGCCGTGATTGTCTCTGGTACAGCCACAAGGTGTACCATTTTGCTGAATCTGTCAACAAATACGAGAATACCCGTATTCCCGCGTGCGTCTTTGGGTAACCCGAAGACGAAATCCATTGAGATGGATTCCCAGCACTCAGCCGGAACCGGTAGAGGCTGTAAAGGTGCACGCAGTGAAGGACTTGACTTCACTCGTTGACAGACTTCGCATGCGCGAACATACTTGCGCACAAACTGATACTGGCGGGGCCAGTAAAAGTCTCGACTCACCGTGAGACATGTTTTCTCTCGGCCACGATGTCCTCCTATAGGAGCATCGTGATACTCGAACATGACCCGCAAATGCAGATCAGTATTATCTGGAATGACAACACGTGGTGTGTCACCAGAAACGGCTGTATAATACAGTAAACCGTTACATGTAGTGTATCGATCTGATGCAGATCGATACGCAGACGACAATCGTTTCAACGATTCTCGAGATGGTTGGGAGAGATGTGTCAACAACTTCACTATCTCACCATCTTGGGCGTATGCCCGCCTCACATCATCATACAACGTTGTAGATGGGACTGAGGACGTCATAACCGCAACAGTGACTGTCTCACTGTTGGGTTTCGCGACTGTTTCAAAGTCGGGACGACGTGAGAGTGCATCAGCAACGACATTAAGTCGTCCTAGTTTGTACTCGACCGTAAAGTTGTATTCCGCAAAGAATGACAACCACCGCGCCATTCGTTGTGAAAGGTGCGGGCTGTTCACTGCCGTGCGTAATGACGCATGGTCAGTGTAAACAACGAAGGGTCTATCTCCTAATAGATAGACTCTGAACTTCGCGAGTGCATACTTCATGGCAAGGAGTTCCTTGTCATGCACTGGATAGTTCCGCTCAGCTGGTTGCAGCTGACGCGACTGATAGCAGACGACGCGTTCAACACCTTCTAGGTCGTACTGCATTAATGCACAGCCGATTGCGAAATCGCTGGCATCACAGACCACATGAAATGTCCTGTCCTGATCGGCTATTGCTAGGACTGGGGATTGTATCAAGCTCTGCTTGATACCCTCAAAGGAGCGCTGACATTCAGCGTTCCATAACCACCTCTCGTTCTTTTTCAACAAACGAGAGAGGTGCACAGTCATCTCGGCGTAATTGCGTGAATATTTATGCAAATACGCCGCTAGCCCAAGGAATTTTCGAAGACCTTTGACATCGACCGGCACAGGCCAGTCGGTGATCGCCTTGATCTTTTCGGGATCAGGACGTACACCGTTCTTACCAACGATGCACCCAAGAAGTGGTATTTCGCTTGCTGCAAATATACACTTCTTGAGGTTTGCATACAATTGATGCTTTCGCATGATTGTAAGAACTTGTCGGACGTGGTACCTGTGAACCTCAACGTCCGATTTTCCATCCATAGCTCGACTATGGATGAATACGTCATCGAAATAACTCGGCGCGAATTCTCATACTGGCCTCAACAGATGTGATACACACCTGTTGAACGTGGCAGGGGCATTACTGAGCCCTTGTGGCATTACTAGCCATTCCCAGAGCATGCCACTAGGCGTGCTAACTGCGTATAGGGTATATCCCGTTCCCGCATTAGGATTTGATAGAAGCCATCCATCAAATCCATGGACGAAAAGATGGTACTCTTTGACATACCATCAATGATTACGTCCTTCCTCGGTATCGGCGTCTGAGCCGGTACCGTTGCAGCGTTCAATTTGTTAAACGCGTGCACTATCCGCCACCCTCCTGTTGCTTTTCGCACACAGAAGATCGGAGAGCTATGTGGGGAAGTTGATTCCCTCACATGGCCCGCAGCTAAACGATCGGCAAAGAACTTGTCGATCGCAAGTACTTGTTCACGAGGCAGTGGCCACTGCTTCATGACACAGTACTTCGAGCCTGGATTAAGCTCGACTTCGTGTCGAATACCTTTATCCTTCGGTATTTCGCACGGAACAGTTTCAGGGAATACATCCTTGAATTCAACCAAATCTTCATAGAGAGGATTTTCCTTGAGCGATTCCCATGATTGGGACTCATATCGCTCAATTCGTGTCTTTTCATCTAGGACACTCTCGTCCATAGATGAACTACTGAGAACTCTTTCGTTCTCAGTAAACACTGTTGCTGACCTTATGTCGGTTACACACTCGTCGTCAGCGACGAGTACGCAGATCTGCTTGACTTTGCCACTACGCAGATCACGCAAGAACCTTTTATGTTCGAGCGTTGGCAACTGAGTGATCTCCGAAGTCAACTTCGGAGGCGCAATCAGATCAAGTGTATAAGCGCCTACACTTGATCCGTTATTGACTATGACATTCAATGTCTCTGTCATTTCCTGGGGACTTATTCCCTCAGGCTTCGAAGGACTTATTCCTTCGTCTTCCCGGGGACTTATTCCCGCGGGTTTCGGGGAACTTATTTCCGCCGGATCTGTAATCTTGGGACTTATTCCCTTAACTTCCTCTAGCTGTGGTTGCGCAACCACAGCGAGATCCTCTACGAAAGACTCTCCAGTCGATCTAGGATTATCGTTTCGCTTAACCTGAGCGATCGATTGTTTCTCTTCTAGATGTTCCCCTCTAGGGATACATCTTTGTCCCGGTCCACTCGACTTATTCGAGTGGTGGACCTTCGGCGCAGCCTGTGTTTCCTCACAGCCGCCGGAACTTTGCTCCGAAGTGTAACCGTTTGGTACACTAAGGTTTTGTGCAGTCGTACTAACGACCGTACCACAAGTGAGGCCATCGCACTCACTCGTAGTACATCCACACGCTTGTGGACGCCTCCAAAACGTTCATCAGATGGCCATCTGATGAACAAGCGGCAGGCATCGTTACTGTCCGATGTTGCCAGTTTACTCGTGGTTCGTACCTTCTGAGCCACGGTATTCCAAGGATGACATCAAATTTGTCATCCAAATCCAATACGATAAAGTCATCGTCATATTGGGTATCTTCTAGCGTATAGCGAATCTTCACTATACGCTTCATGACGGTTACGGATGCGCCTGTCGCAAGACGTACCGTCATCCTCGTGGGAGGTGTGTCACATTCACTGAATTTAAAGTGACCATCTTCTAGCGATTGGCGTCGCACAAAATTGTTAGACGCCCCACAATCGACTAGAGCTCGAAGGGACAACTTATTCGTCACTTCGAGTTTCAAGGTAATGAGTGAGATCTCATTACCTAGAGCAGCAACGCACAACGTCTGTGTGTTGGGAGCAACCTTCATCAAGAGGCCTACAAATTCTCTTGACGTTGCTGGATCAGTAGGGTGCTCCGCACCTACTGATCCTGTCCGTTTTTTGACGGTCCATCCCGTTGTTGCGTCTTTGCACCAACTGCGGACCCTCGTCCCTGCCCCTTTCTCATGGGTGGACGGTCACTACGCCCAGTGTCGCGAGACACTGGACGAGGGGCACTACACTCGTAAGCGTAGTGTCCTGTCTTCTGACATCTGTTGCATCTCTGCAACTTCTTGTAGCCTGTAGAGCGAACCTTCTCGCTCTCTACATAACAGAGTTCCATCGGCTCTGGACCTCCGTTGTCATATCGTCTCGGTTGACGATATGATGTCGAGCTGGCGCGAGCCTGTCTCAGACTGAAGTCTTCCTGCTCCGCAATGGAAATGGCTTGTTCTAGTGAATCTAGTTCAAGCCGGAACAGGTGAGTCTTGACGGGACCATCCGCAAGACCCTGCATGAACACCGAAACCAACGTGTGTTCATCCACTGGATTGGAACTTATACAACTCGTAAGATGTCGTATATGTTGAGCGTAAGCGTGCACATCACGCTTACCCTGCTTGAGCTTCAAGAGTTCGGTTCAAGCTCTGAGCTCAGCTCTAGGCGGTTCAAACGTTTGTCTAAGCCGCGACTTGAAGACTTCCAACGACCCAAACGCATATGGGTCGTGCAGCTTGAGCCCCAGTGCCCAAGTCTTGGCACGTCCTGCCAGATTTGATTGGGCAAATGCAACTTGCATATCCCCGTCGTCGATGCGACGCGCCCTTATGGCGTCATCCAATTCGACGAACCATCTCAAGAGGGAGTCTTCTTCGACCCCTCTATACTTTGAGATGTCAATCTTCAAAGTCTCGGGCCGACGCGAGTGCATCGACCCGCCAGCAGCAGCCTGCTGCTGTCTCAACAGTTCAAACTGTTGAGCACCTTGTTCTCTCAACAACTCTGCTTGTTGAGAACCTTGTTGGTGAAGCAAGGCTACTTTCTCGCGTTCAGCGTCAAGTTCATTTTGGATGAACTTGGCGATAGTAGCATGTTGGGCGTCTCTATTGAGAGCCTCTAGCATGACGCTAACAGCATGGATGCCCATGGTCGAACCCATTCGTTCAACCGCATCCCATTCGACATCGCTCAAATGGGAGTAGCCGTCACGCGTAGCGTGAAAGCTTTGGTCATCTTCATCATCCAACGTATTCATGTTGGATGTGAACGCGGTCCTTGGACGGACTACGAAGTGCTACCAGGTGTAACGGGGCACCCTGAAGCTTGTACTGGTGACAGTACAAGCTACTTATTCTGATAACAGAATAAGGCGGTGTCTCGTAACTTCACGTACACTCGTACGTGCAGAGGAAGACGGTAAGAAGAAGCGAGTACTTGGTTAGAGTAAAAAGTAGAACTGTATTTATAATAGTTAATGTCTGCAATAAATCACTATTTATCTTCATCTAACTATGTCTAAATACAAATGTGTAAATCAATTATCTGCTCACCACTCATTGCGTGCGTCTGTCGTGGCGCGTCTTCGTTGGTTGATATAATGGCCTATATCAACCAATTAGGAACTACTTGTAAGTGCTACAGAATATTTGTCCTTATGACAATATTCTGAGAATATAACTCTTATAGTTATATTCTATTAACAATTTCTTATAAATTGTTATGTAACGATTCACCCCGTTACATCTGGCCACTCGATGGAAGAGGCTTTTCTCACCTGGGACATGCTAAATCTCAGGTGTTAGCCCTGCCTAATCAGGCATATCGCGTGCGATCACGCTTCCTGTCAACCTGCCAGGGTAAAAAGGACTTATTCCATCACGTCCAGGAGTTGCGAACTCTCATCGCTGCTATGCAGCTCGACTTTTTACCTGAGACGGTTCTGGTAACCATTCTTATGGAGGGTCTTCGCACTGGCGTTGCCATAACATAATTGTTTTGTGCATAACCCTCGATATATGAGGGTGCAGTGGACATAGTGGTGAACGCAGAGTTCAACTTTAACGCTGCCTGTTACGGGACTCATGGTTTACAATCGGAATCGCCGAGTAATACTCATTTTATGGATAGGACAGAGCCCATGGACCTTAGTCTCGCTGATGTTGACGAAGAATACGAGCTTTATGCTGTAGAACAGCTTTCGAACAACCGTAAATACCTTCGCCCCAATTGTCCTTTGAGAAGAAGCAGACAGGCTCATTTAAGCCTACCCCCCCCGTCTCTAACCAACGAGTTGGTAAGGCGCGGAAAGGCGTCGAGTTCCAGTAGGCGCGGGGCGCCCTGCCAGGGAGGATTTAGGCTCTGTTGTAACTCTGGGAGGTGATGGAGAACAGGGACTAGCCCCAAGCGTCTTCGTGAGCAATGTCACGAAGCATGAGTACAAGCCAGGCTTGTTAGTTGCGAAAGCAACAGTGAAGGTCTTTGATGAGACGTAGTCAATATTGATCGACTCCGGGGCGTCGGTAAATTACGTCCGACGTTGTTCCCTGGAAGTTAGTCAGAAGTATTATGAGGCGCTGAAAGCGCGAAAGAATGAGACTATCACTGTCCGCTTGACGACAGGTGTATTAGCCACTGTGCCTAAAGTTCCTGTGAACTTTGGTGTGAAGTTTTCGGACTTTGACAGTATTGGACGCTGTCTAGTCTTTGACTTGGATGAGATACATAATGTCATCCTTGGTATGGCTTGGCTAGAACGCCATGAGTCATGGATTGATTGAAGGTCAAAGAGCTTAGGCGAAATCCGCACTGCTCCTACTGGAGCTTCAGAGAGTCATGATCCCGCTTCTGCTAAGAAAAAGAAGCGCTATCGGCGCGAGCCACGGACTGAGATACTCAATGTGATAGACATCAGTATGTCTGAACTCATTGGGTTGGACGATGTCAAAAACTTTAGTTGCGGGCCAAGCTCGTTGACTGCTAGTGAAACGGCACTTACTCCGTCGATTAATAATCGTTGTGATAATGAATCACTGAATGCTGTAAGCATCATTAGTCTAGAATCAAGTCTTCATGGGTTATAATCATCAGGTGAGCGTGTAGTGGCACGTACATACACACTGAGTGATGTTGGCCGTGATTGCGACACACAAAATGTCAGTCAAGACATTGTTGGTGAAATACCAAGTCATCAAGGGCGAGAACCAATTGATGAGCGTGGAGTGGCACGTAAGTACCCACTGGGTGGTGATATCACTATAAGTGACACATGACCAGACGTCGTTAATGACACCGGATCTGACTCAGATCAAAACAAGGTTGACGCAGTTCGTCATCTTGGGGACAGTGTAATCCTAGATGTCGGCATGACATCGTTCCTGCTATAGTGCAAATTAAGGGTGACGCAGTTCGTCACCTTGGGGACATTGTAGTCCCAGATGTCAGTAATGACGTCGGCCCAGATACTGGGAAAATTAAGGTTGATCAACATATTAATTTTGGGGATATTAATTTTCCGGGTGTCGGTAATGACACCGGTTCTTGTACAGAGCAAGTTAAGGATGGTGATGATATCAATCTTGGGAACGAGAAAGTTTCAGTCTCTCTGATACGCTCAGTCTTGTCACAGAGACGACAGCATAGCCAGATTGCTGTTATGCAACGCAAGGCGTCTATTACGTGACTGAGTGATACTAGCGAGCAGCTGTATACTCTCGTTTATGGAGTGACTGGCGACGCAGATGTGTCAGTAAGTCTTGATACTCTACCCTCACTGAATACTCTGTTATCACTAGACGAAATACCGGTCAATGAGTTTGGCCTGAACTTAAATTCAGGTGACTTATCTGAAGTGGTAATTCATAGACTTGATGTCGAGTTGAACTAGTCTTCACTTCTTGATGAAGCTGTCTTGGAAGACACAAAGGCATCGCTGAGTGCTTGAAGTGGGTCATCCATCTTGAAGATCCTAAACACCGTTTTATTATTTGGTAAAGGAGTTTCACGATGTGGAGTGTCACGACCTACCTTCCACGCTGCCTCCTGATCAAGGCGTACGTCATGAAATTGACCTGGTTCCTGGAACCTAATACTGTGACACGGAAATGACCCTACCAAAGGAGCAGTGTGACGTCATTGACGAGTTCTTTC